GCTCTACGAGTGGTAACTTTAGTGCTCTACTACTCTTCTCACGCGCTCAAAGTCTTTCTGAAAATGACTGATTGAGTGGTTTTCGATAACACTCAGCAACTTTCTAATTGGAACCGTATGTCTATTTCCACCAATTAAAACAATTAATTAACACATTTTAATGAATTAGCTGGCTAATTAGTATGTTTTTGGCAATTCCTGACGTCCGCCGTGGCTGGTAGTTTGTTCCCGAAGACAGTTTCTTTTTTTTTTTCAAACGCTCTAACTTTTAGGTATATAGCCTGTGGGGAATGGTCGTGCCCGGGTTAGGTGGTGTGGCTTAGTCCGGAGATGGATCACGTCCACTGTCATTCCCAAGTGTGTGCCAGTGGCAAGTTTACCCAAAAGGGCGAGGGAGACACCGCCTTCTTCAAGCGATGCGCCCTTGCCTCGTATCCGGGAAACCACCATCATGGTGGTCCCCATGGCCTGCATGTGCTAAGCCTATATAAAGAGACTAGAAACACAAGGTTCTTACAATACGCACCTCTAAACTAAGCCAAAACTGCATGATGTCGCCATGGTGGCATCATGACTAGAGTACTAAAGGCTCGTTCACACAGTTGTGTCGACTGTGTTGCGTCGTGCTGCACAGCACTTCCCCATTGATGCGTTGGTGTCACCATAGCAACAGCTCGACGCAAGCAGCCTTAACAAGGCGCAAGTGGTTGCAGTCGCACTCGAACGCAACTGTGTGGACGAGCGTTAAGTGTGTTTGATAAGGAAGAAAACACATGTTAACCATGAAGGCTCATTCATGTTTACAATAGTGAGGAACGTGCATGAGCTAATGATTCAACAGCATACAGTAAGGCCCGCTTCAGACGGAGCAATTTCACCCAGCAACTTGACGTCGCAACACCAGCAACACCGGCCGCCTGCGTTCACACGCAGCAACCGAATTGCTCCGACTTGCCATCATCATCATTAAATTTGATTTTTCTTACACTATTTAGACGCCCAGCTATGCGCTAAAAACATATTTTTATATCTTTGAATGGTGTTGGGAATACTAACTCATCTTTCTGAAAAGGTTTATTTCCAAAAACGATCTATTTCAAACCAGAACCAAGTATATAGCTGTCATCATCACCACCACAGGGGTGTCACGTGAAAATATTGCGTCCCTGATTGGCTGCAGCCGTTTCAAACGTCTTCGAATTGCTCCGAGTTGCTCACTCGTTCGAGCCGGACGCGATCTCAGCAATTCGTGTCGATCTAGGGAAAGCTAGGGAACAACCCGCCGGCAACCTCAAAATTGCTGGAAAAGTTGCCCCGTCTGAAGCGGGCCTAAACAATTTTACGCCGTAAAAGGTTCCAATCAACCATTCTCAGAAAAGATAAATATTTAAGAACACTGGGAGTCGATTGAAATGCTCAAATCGATTGTGAATTGTTTGCTCTGGTGGAGTGTCTAAATAAAGGGTAGGAACACATGCGAGAATAGGTCAACACCAGTCTGCTTGTTCACAGTGCAGTACAGCAAAGTTCGCCGAGATAACTTATGTCGGTCACACAATGGCTCATTATTCGACAATGATAAATATATCTGTGACATAACCAGTCTTTTTGCATCTGCTCAGTACAAATTATAAACTCTGGTTTTGTAATGGTTTTAGGAGGATTGACTTTGGTAGCTCAGACCCATACTGCACTCGTATACTTCAACGCTGGTCAGGGTTTTATAGGTAAGGTGAATGAACATATATTATCTTTATGTATGCACCGTTTAAGACCAGGTGCACAGAGTCTACGCTGAGGGTTTTTCTTTTTAGGGAAGATAGTAGAGACCGTGCTTTGAAGGTTAGATTTAATCTACCATTTTTCGTAGGAACCACGGTGTGAGATACATATAGGTGTGGGCACCGGGCACATCTAGCTGTCTAAGTTCTCTCCTCACCTTGGTTGCAAGCGGCGCGACCAGATGACTCTTCGATAAGCGGCTAGTGGTAGCCTGCTCATTCTTGGTGAACACTTCGAGTTCGTTTCCAGCTCAAGGAACTACACGCCTACTTTCCTTCGACACAAAGTACAGGTAGAAAAAAGGTCTGTCAATAGTTTGAGTGGCTATCAAGACCCATATAATGCTCCACTTACGTTGCATGAAGTTGAAATGGTTCTTCATTCCCCTAAGCAGACTGCACCTGGCCCAGATGGAATTCATTACATTATGCTTCAACATCTTCATCCTTCAACTGTTCAACTCATTTTATATCTTTTCAATAGAATTTGGTCTGAAGGCCATTTTCCAACTTCTTGGAAGGTGGCCTTTGTAGTACCCTTGCTTAAACCAGGAAAGGATCCTTCTAGTGCTTCTAGTTATAGGCCTATTGCATTGACTAGCTGTCTATCAAAAACTCTGGAACGAATAATTAACAGAAGGCTTATGCATTATCTTGAAACTCACAAAATTCTAGACGGGTATCAATGCGGCTTTCGGTCGGCACGATCCACAGTGGACCACCTGGTTCGCTTCGAGACAGCCGTGAGAGAGGCATTTGTTAACAAACAGCACTGCCTTTCTGTGTTCTTTGATCTGGAGAAGGCTTATGATACTGCCTGGGGATTTGGAATCCTGCAAGACCTCATCAATATCGGTATTTGCGGGAGCATGTTCGACATCATTAAAAGCTATTTAGAGTGCCGCTCATTTCGTGTGAAACTTGGAACAACTTTCTCTCGGGATTTTGTGCAGGAAAATGGTGTTCCCCAGGGTGGTGTACTTAGTGTCACTCTTTTCATTATAAAAATAAATTCCATTGCCCGAGTAATACCTCCTTCAGTTCAATACTCTATTTATGTTGATGACATCCAAGTTTCAGTATCATCATGTAACCGCTCCATATGTGAAAGGAGAGTTCAACTGGCTATCAACAAATTGACGAACTGGGCTGATAAAAATGGTTTCAGGTTTTCCACAGAAAAAACTGTGTGTGTATGCTTTTCCCGCCGGCGAGGAATTTTTCCAGATCCTTCATTAACCATTTATGGACTGCCTATTGCTGTGAAGAGTGAACATAAGTTTTTAGGTCTTCTGTTTGATTCAAAATTATCTTTTGTTTCTCACATTAAGCAGTTGAAGTTGAAATGCACAAAATCACTTAATATCCTAAAAGTATTGTCTCATCAATCTTGGGGTTCTGATAGACTGTGCCTTTTACGCATTTATCGCTCAGTGGTTCGCTCCCGTCTAGATTATGGCAGCTTTGTGTATGGCTCAGCTAAAGCATCAGTATTGAAGATGTTAGACCCTATTCATAATCAGGGGCTACGGCTGTCTATCGGAGCATTCCGCACCTCCCCGGTTCCCAGCCTTTATGCGGAGGCCAATGAGGTCTCTCTTGAGAAAAGACGCTTTGCTCTAGGATTTATGTATTCACTCCGAGTAAGGTCTGTTCCTCTCCATCCTGCTCATGATTCTATTGTAAAAATTAGGTTTCAAAGGACTTTCCAAAATAAGCCAAGTCTTGTTCCTCCTTTTGCCTTGAGAAATACTACGGCAGCAGAACTCTTTGGTCTGGAGCCCAAACCCTGCGTGACACAGCACAGAAACACTGTAGCTCCTTGGGATTACTCCCTCGTCCATTGTGACTTTACACTTACAAAACACAGCAAGAAAGACACCCCGGACGAAGTGCTGAGGCAAGAGTTTTTCGAACTACAGAGCCACTATCGTCACTACACAAGCTTTTATACAGATGGTACTAAAACTGAATCATTTGTAGGCTGTGCAATGATTGGACCATCTGTTTCCAAGGTAAAAAGACTGAACCCCTTTGCCACAATTCTAACGGCAGAGTTGCATGGTCTACTTCTTGCTGTTGAACATATCGTTGAGAAGAGGCTGCGTCGCTCCGTAGTATACACAGACTCTTTAAGCTCATTGAAAGCCCTTGTTTCCCTGAATATCCCCACAAACCCGCTGGTTTCACACCTGCAGAGTAAAATAATCTGTGCAACCAAAAACAAATGTGATATTGTGTTTTGCTGGGTGCCAAGTCATGTTGGCATCCCGGGTAATGAGGAAGCAGATCAAGCTGCGCACTTTGCGGCCACACAAATTGTGCACCTTAAAGAAATTCCCCACGAGGATTATCACAAGGTGGTTAGACATTGCATACTGCAGAGATGGCAACAGGAGTGGGATACTGAGATAAACAATAAGTTGCATATGGTGAAACAACTCTTGAAGGAATGGGAGAGTGCTCGGCACCGTGAACGATTCTACGAGGTGGTACTCTGCCGTCTGAGGATTGGCCATACACGGCTCACACATGGGCATCTTTTGCGGGGTGAAGATGCCCCACAGTGCGAACATTGCCATTGTCCTTTGACTATACTTCATATTTTAATTGAATGCAATGCGTATGGCCTAGAACGCCGTAACCACTTTTCACAGCTTTACAAAGAGCATACTCCCCTACATCTGATGATTTTACTTGGCGATGAACCCCTCATACCACACTCTTGTGTTTTTAACTTTCTCAAAGCAATCGGCTTTCTACACCGACTGTGATTTTACTGTTTTGAACTCATGTCCATTCCTTTTACACTTATACATAGGTCATGTTCATTGTTTTATCCTATCATCTGCTACTAAAGCTCTTTCTTCTCCTTAACCTTCTCCCAGCAATAGTTTATGTACTTGGCGCATTATAGCCTTAGATGCTTTTGCGCCACTAAAACCCAATCAATCAATCAATCAATCAACCCGGTTTCCCATGCTTCTCTATGGGAGACATGCTTGTTTTAAAGTCGTTTTCTGGTTGTGCCACGTCCATGTAGAGCTTGCCACTTGCGTTATGCTTGCTGTTTAGACAGCAAGGATAACGCACGGGTCAAACCTTGGGTCAAACGCACGTATGCCCGGTGGCCAGGGCCGGTCCTACACCATTGAGCGCCGTGGGCAAACTCCGGCACGGTCGTCATTTGCATTTGACGGAGGATTGCTTTGGTCACAGGAGAGCAGCGGAGGTGGGACCCAAGACGAGAGGAATCTGTGGATGCCAGGTGGCATGCGGACGGAGGAGGCTTGCCAGCGCCCCTATGAGGAGGTGGCTCAGCAACTGGGCACAGATCTCCGTAGGGGCCTGTCATGGCGAGAGGCCAATCGGCGCCTCGTCTCCCTTGGCCCCAATGAGTTTGAGGTGCGCCAGGAGGAACCCCTCTGGAAGAAGTACTCTGAGCAGGTATGGCATGGCCTTTTTCACGTCGTAACCCAGCTGGTTCACGGTTCACTCGCGTGCCTTTGGTCATTCTTAAAGGACCTCCATTTATATGTGTCTATATTTGAATGGAAGCATAACCCACGAAGGCCCAATCTCCAAAAGCAAATATTTGCGGCTCAATCTTTTTCCGCACCAAAATGCCAGTAGAGGATCGGCCGCTCCGGGCTTCCCCCCTTGTCCTCAGTCACATGCTAAAGTGGTGCAGATCACGGTATATAAGGGATAAGTCGTGCAAGGCTCATTTTTATTATTAAAATAATAGAATCTATGAAACATAATTTTTATGACCACTGAAAGACGGAAAACACTTTGATTTAAAGAAACTAACTTGAAATGTGTGGTCGCACGGATGGAAACACCCCAAGTGACTCCCTTAGTCTCTGACATTGCTTTCTTCCGTGCTGGTACTCTGGTTTCGATTTGACACATTTTGTCTTTGTCAGAGAATATGTGACTTTGACATAACCTTAATTGGGGGTATTTTGACATCATTTTCTCTAGCAATTTGCACGAAAAATGATGATTTTTTTTTTGGGTATTGTCAGAGTCTATTTAAAGAACCTTAAAGGTGGCAATTTTGCCTGCTAGATAGTTTTGAAGATGCAGGAGACTCTCAATTATGTGAGAGGCTTTTGTTCTGATGTGGTCATGAAGCGATTGTGTGCTTCTAGCTTTTTAATTTCTTAAACCACTGTGTCTTGTTCACTAATCTGTATTCTGTTGCATTTCCCCGAAACATGTGAGCACTTGTTCATACATACAATAAAACATTGAGCATGCCCCCATGTCACATTAATTGTTTCCTAAGTAGTGCCCATCTGCTACTAAGGAAACATAAAAAAAAGAAGCAAAAGGCATATCAAGCACCCACCCCAGACTTCTTAGCCCACCTAGCTAACTAAGATGCTTCTCTGCATCAGCTGTTTCTTCAGACACACCGGTGCAAAGCAGTGAAGCTCACCCTATTATGTAAGACTGTTCTGCTTTTTTGTACTCTGACCTTACAAGGGCTCATGGCCCAGTTTTTTTAATATCTCCAAATATTGAGTGGGTGCTTGCTCGGTAGTTTACGATACATTCCTAAAGCGATCCCGATTGCCAAACACTCGCATAACAGGATATCTGAATATGATTCACTGTGAGAGTGTAAGAGTTAATGAGGAGAAATTGCATCGTAAGTAGAAGAAATATCTCCAGCATCTGTTGACTTGGTGAGAGTGTCAGACAAATAGGGTTGTATTAATGAGAGCTCCTACCATAAATGCAATGAGGGTACAGCAGGCGATAATAAAATCAACCATTGTGGTCCACACAATAATCATGGTAAGAAAAGCAGATAGGGGCAACCCTGAAAGTAAACCATACAGTTTGGTAATTTTCTTTCTACAAAAACAAAAACAAAAAAACTTAAATAAAGTTTTTAAATTTTGCCATAAATATAAAAAGTGGGAATTTAAGACTGGTGTAAAGCTCCAGTCTCGGATATGAGGTTTGAGAATTGGAGATGCTGTGCAGTGAAGTTCTCTGCTTATTCAACAAGACCCATTCTTTTAGTACTCTTTCCGACGTCTATCTTTCTTTCCTTCCCATTGTTTCACTGTCTGCTTGCAGTGCCAGGATTTCTTGAGTTTATGGCTTTTTGCATTGTGCAGGTGTTCTGACGGCTATTTCGAGGGTGGCTGTAGGTCTCCACCTCCATCATTCTCAATCTCTCCCTTTACCCTTGTACGCAGTTCAAGAATCCGTTGATCGTTCTTCTACTAGCATCTGCTGTGGTCAGCATCTGCATGCAGCAATTTGACGACGCATTCAGCATCACTGCTGTAAGAAAAAATTTGTGGATATGTTTTCTAGGGCAGCTTCGTATCTGGAAACTTGGCATATTTTCCTCGTCGTCAAGTTTCACTGTATGCTTTTTGTTTTTTTCTTTTGGTCTCACACATGCTGATATGCCATATGTTTTGATTTTTCACTTCCGATGGCAAACCCGGTTGTTTATGAAAGGAATGACGAGAGAGTGGGTTTTATCCCATTGGCCATGATGGCGTACCACTACTTAGCCCTTGGTCCTTGAGCCAAGTAGGGTGCAGTTGGCACACGTGGCTGTGCCACATAGAAAAATTTATCTTTTTTGCCCTTTTTTTTTTCTTGCCCTAATTTCAAACCATTTTAAAGCCTCCCATCATGAAACCATAGTTTTTCTAGTAGCTAATTCTGCCACTGATCACATTAGGGAGAATATCTCGAGCAGAGTTTCTATATCACCACAAAATACAGAACAACCAACCATCCAGAATCGGGGGGTAGTTTTGAGCAGTGGCGGAATTAGAAGGGGGGTCCTGCCCTCCCTTTTGAATTCTGCATGTTTAAAAAATTAGGGTGGGGAAAATGAGGGGGGGGGGGGGAGGGGGGCATTCTCAAACATGATATGCTAATGCCCCCCCTTCCTTTGGGAATACTTGCATCTGCCCCTGGTTTTGACGCTATTTGGTGATAGTCGCTTACTCCATCAAGTTTTTTTGTATAATTTATATACTCTAGCCTATTACCTATTTTGAAGTTTCCAGAGCTACGGCTAAGTAGGCTACGGCTAGGCTACGGCTGTGGGCTTAGTAGGCTACGGCTGTGGGCTTCATTTGCACTTAAGGTGCGAGTGAAATCCAAACTATAGGCGCTTTTTTATTGTTTTTTTTTTACTTCTGTCTGCAACTGTAGTACTACTGCATGGTTGTAGCTTTCGTAAATTTTTTTACATGTTTTACCTTGTCATGTGTACAGGTTGATTCACCAATGACAGAATATTTTTCTAAGAAAAAAGACACTTGAATAAGAGAAATAATTTCTTTGTGATAACGTTTTCCAGTGCAGCAAACATCAGTCGACAAATTAAAAGGAATAATCAGCAATGTAATTACCTAAAATCCCCTAATTATCTTTTAAAAATATTTGCTTGATCTGGTTTACTCCAACAGACCGACCTCACTAAGCATTTGCCGCATGCCTTAGTTCACAAGAGGCGGATGACAGCGCGCAGGAGGGCTCGTGCTCTGCACGTGCAGAGCTTCAGCAAGGTTGTTGCACGGCTAAAGTTCTCTCAGTGCATTGCGGCAGCGGTGGCATAGTCAAACTGGCTGGTGAGATTGGTCTGTTAGAGATTCCTTGCCCATCCAGATATGCTCTAGCAGATGTTAGAAGCCAGAAAACTAAATTCTTCTCTGTGCTATTCTGTGGCAAATATGGGTTGTCTGGTGTCTGCCATACCAAAATTAAGGGGAAAAAAAAGCACAGAGAGCTGCACATGTGAGAAGATGACAGAGTATGGCGCACATTTTCTTTGACCATATGATCCTTGCCAGCTTGTGATGACTCTCTACCCGTGTCAAGTGTGGACACTAACTTCGCTTGCGGGTGGCGCTTCCACCACTTTTTTGCATGTAGTTTCAGTATCTCTTCTTCTCCTGGGCTTAAATTTGCCAGAGAATTTAGTTTCGTGAATCCTATAGCTATGACATATTTTGACGACGGGCAACTCATTCAAGCTTATTAAGCTTGAAGGGGGGATATGATGACGTCAATTTCGTTGCGTGTGCTCGCGCACACCGGCGGCTCCTGACTCATGGAAAGATAGTGTGCCACTTATTATAGACACTGAAATGTTTGGTTTAGCATCCCTTTAAAGCACTAGAAGGTACAATCTTATCTACTCTTAGGGTTTTTTTTGTTTTCTTTTTCTTTTTCCTTTTATTTTACTTTACCAGAAAAGTAGTACACCCTCGATAGACATTTCTGGCTACACTACATCACTGCCTGCCGCGGTGGATAACGTTATCCCAAAGGAATTGTTTTCTTATTTTAAGTGCCCCCTTTTTTTAAGTATGCTTAGTCATTGGTGAAACACCCTGCACATACTTATTGTAAAAACAAAAATAATATTTTTGAATTCAACAGACGCTTTTTTTAGCCAATCTTATGAAAACAAATTCTAAGAGCTAGGAATTTCATTGAAGACCCGATTATTTAACTGTGCATGTAATTTTTTTCATAGTTCAAGGCACTTCGAACTTGATGAGTCATCTTCTCGTAATGTTTTCATGCTTTCTTTGATGAAAAGTCATTTGTGTAATTTCTGTTTGATCTCAGGTCGACCTTCTTGTCAAGCCATTCAGAGTTTTCAGAGAAAGCTGTTACAATGGGAATATCTTTTTTTAATCTAGTAATTAGGGATAGCCCACTTTTAAATAGGAAAATTATTAAATTCATTGTTCAGAATGATGTGATCCTATTTAAAATAAACTTAATCAAATGACTTAACTACCATGGCTATGTTACATTGTTTTGGGGGATTTTTTTTAATGCTTTTGAATAGTTAGATTATTTAGTGAGTGTTTAAAATTCAAATATCACCGGCTTGCCTTGATTGTGAAGAACTAAAACTGCAATTGCAATTTCTATTGACCCCTTAACTGGGGAGCGCACCTTTAAATGCTCACTTTTTTATTGCATGGGAGGAAGCACCATATTTTCCCAAACATCGGAAATAGTTTTGCTTTAGAAACGAGTGCATAGATTGGGGCAGCACAAAAAAAGTTTGATGAGATATGTGTGATACCAAAAAAATGCTATTGGCAAAATGGTGACAAAAAAATCCCGATTTTGCCAATATTTCTTGGTGGGACCTTTCTTTTTTCACAACCAGAATAATCAAGTTTGAGCTTTTTGCTAAACAAAATGCCTCATTTGTGACCTGAGTACATGGAATTTTCCTCTTTTATTTCAGGCCATTATTATTGTGGTTACTGTTGCGTTTGTTCAAGTAAGTAAATTATTTATCTCTTTGCTTTCCTTGCTACACTTGCCCAATTTCTTTCTTTATATTTTTCTGTGATTTTGATTCTAGGAGTATCGCTCAGAGAAGTCACTTGAAGAACTGAACAAATTAGTGCCTCCCGCATGTCATTGGTAAGCTTCTTACTCTCTGATTTGGCCTCATGTTTTGATCATTATATATATATATATATTTTTATGATAATAAAAATTGTAATTTTCTTTAGTGAAGTGATTTAGCGAGGAACATATTTAAAGAAAAAAGCATTATTTTTTTTTATGATTGGGAATTTTGCATAGTCAGTCTTTCTCAAAACTAAAAATAGCATTTTGGGTTACTGAGGCATTTATGTTGTCAAAATTATGAGATAATGGGAACAATAGTCACCTTAATGTTCCACCACCAAAGTAATTGCAACAGGAACCGTTAGTGTGATTTTTTTTATTTCTGACAAAAAAAACTATAAGAAGCATTTTTTTTTCTCCTTATACAAGCAACTACCTGCACCAGATTTTTTAAATCAAATGTTTTCCTCATAGAGTTGCATCTTGGTGTAAAATTACAACATGCTTAGTGATGTGATAGTCTCATATTTGTGGGAAATGACAATGCACTCAGTGAGGTGACCTATTTATGCAGCCCAGTAAATCAGCAGCACGATAAAATTGATCTCTCTCTAGTTTGTTTTGAGCTAACTTCCACATGGCGATTCCACCCGGTTTGGTGTGCAGTTTACGTGATGGCCAGGCTGAGACGTTCCTTGCCAAGAATCTCGTCCCTGGGGATGTTGTGATCCTCAATGTCGGCGATCGAGTTCCTGCCGATCTCAGGCTATTCAGTGTGAGTATCTTCCTGGAGTGATATTTGCTGGTGTTAATTGTTCACTTTTCAGTCGACTTGCTAGCACATTCAACACCCTAATCCGGGGGTGCACAACATGCATGCGGTCCGCAGACATCAGGTTAAGCGAGTGGCTCACAAGTATACCGTACCAGTGGTGTTTTCAGCACCCCAGGAGCTGTCACCACTGTGCTTTGCTGTTAACCAAGGGAGTACCAGAGATTTTGAATCTGATGTCAACCTCCGCACTCCTTTTGTACCATGCGCACTAGGGGTTGTGTATCAGATCGCCTTCACATGTGGTAGGGTGTACATTGGACAAACGGGGAAGTGCGTGAACGTGAGGGCGAGGGAGCATTCCCTTTCTCTTCGTCCCTCCCCCGCTGGCCACTTAGCGGTACATTGCAGTAGGTGCGGCTGCACTGATCTCTATTATAGGGGGCTGGATGGCGCATAGCCGCTCTCCGAGCAGGGCGCGAGTGAAGCCACCGGAAGTTTGATACTTGTCCGGGAAGTCAGGTGTCTGCTGGGCTTCCTAGTGCATTCAGTCTGTTTTGGTCCATACTTTCCGGTGGCTTTGAGTGGGTTTTAATAATCATGCTCCGAATGAAATCTCGAAAATGAGGCATTTGGGGAACTTGGGACATATGCACACTTGCTCAGCTAGAATCTCAAAATGTTTACATTCAATGGCCTCCCATGATACTTCTGGGATCTGCATTCGCTCTTACTGCGCAACAAGCAGGCTCTCTTGAGGTGACAAGCGAAAATCCAGCGCCCTCGACGCTTTTCGAACCAGCACTCGGAAGGGTTACAAAGCCTGCCAAGCGCTCACTTCCGGGACAAGCTGCTTACTTCCGGTGGCTTCATACTGTTTGCTCAATCCGCCATCCAGCCCCCTCTAGTGGAGATCAGCGTGCGGCTGTATTCCTATATTTAATGACTTGACGATCCTGGCGCTTAATAAAAGTAAGACCGCTAGAGAGATTGAAGAGGCATTTTTCATTTTATCAAAAGGGAATGGGAATGTGTGAGCGCACTGTTGGTGCACTTGGGGGATGACAAAGTCCTTTTTATCAAGGAGAATAGCAGGCACGTGTGAAAGTGATGACGTAGTAGAAGTCTCGTCGGTTGGGTTGTATTTTTGTGTCTTGATTGGTTCTTTCCTCTTTGCTCCCCGTGTTTATTTTCTGGTTCGCTTGAAAATTAAACTTTAGTTGATAGTCAGCGCTTCGTCTGTGCACTTCTTTCACTCGTCCTTTGTCAAATTTTTTGTGCTGTTTTCACTCTTGAGGACAGGACACTGCGAGATGTGCTCAAGACAGCAACCAGTGCGTTGATGCCATATATTGAAAACCCGCACAGTTCTCAATAAACATTTTTTTGGCCTGCGTCATTTTTGAGTTGTGCACCCCTGCCCTAATCTTTATTTTTGTGCCAAACTCCTCCCCTTTCAGTTGAAATACTGAACTGGGTAGTCTCCATTTTCATTCTATGCTTGGCATTTACATAGTAAGTTAGCGGAAAGGAATTTTGTTTACCACAGTCAACATGTCTCAAAACTGGCTTCTTAGGTACCCTGGTGTTCTCCAGAGCACCGTAATGGGTTCCTTGAGAGCTCAAATTTGCCCAGCCATCCCTTCCTCACAAGTAAAGAGTTCTTACAATTTAAAGGGACACTGACAGGGTATTTATGCTCGCCAAGGTTTTTATTTGTACATGACATATGAGAGCCCAACTACCCGGAACGCAATTTGCAGCTCGAAATTCGTTTTCTTTCCACCCAAAAACCGCCGATCGAGAACTGGCCGGTTTGAGTCGTGCTCACTCTCTTCTTCGTTGTCACGTGCCATTTTCTAGAGTTTAGACACAACCACCAAAGATAATGAAAGTCGTGGGTCATCAAAGGCACACACTCAATACTAAAAAGAGACAAAAAAATATAATACCCATTTCTTTTGGCTTCTACAAAACTGCAAATACGTTGGCTAAAAAAAAAAAGTTGTACAGCCACGCAATTTCCGGTAACTTTCTCCTCCTCTATATTTCTTGTTCCTCACCAGTCCAGTTTCGGTTAGGTTTTGGGCAGTTTCATTTTTTTACTTTATTAAAAATGTATGTGATGCTGTAGCAAAATATTAATTGGGTAGCCATCTGACACCATAATGGATCGCCTGGCAAAATATAAAAAACAAATCTAGGGGGGTGTCAGTGTCTCTTTATGCACTATTTTAGCAGATCTCAGCTGCTCATTGATGCCTAAGTATAAGCTAAACCAGTATCTGCATTATTATTTACAAGGTCCGTAGGTTCTGCTTTATTGCACTAATGCCGAGAGTGAGAGGGGTCCCTTCACTGGCATTCGAGGCAGACAGGGGCTCCCTAAGACCGGTTGTTGAGAACCCCCGTGTTGGGGTGACGTGACATGCCACAATCTAGGCTCTTGCCGAGATTCTTTATGGCACAAAACTAGAACGAAACTTACCAAGTCACCTGTTACTGTATCATGATTTAGTTATTTTTGTGTAGGAGTTGAATGCACACTAGATGGAGTCCTTGCAACCCCCTTAATAACAGGTTTTGCTTCTACTGGATGGCTTCGTAAAGGCTGTCTCACCCCCTGGGTTCTTCGCAAACATTCCAAGGAGTTAAGGTGGCAATGCGGGCTAGTTGGTGCATATCTTCAAAAATTGTAACAGCATGCGAAAGACAAGAACACAGAGTAAATAGAAGAACACAGGACAAGCGCTGACTATCAGCTGAAACATTTAATGAAAAGAACACAAAACATCAACAGTGGCAAAAAACTAAACTGTCAATCAATGCATGTCAAGGAAGGCAGTCTCCTTCCAATGTAAATGGAGCGATGTTTGGCTAAGACATCGGTCTTCCCCTTCTTTTTTAAGGGCGTAAGCTTCCAGAATCTCTCTGGGCATCTGATCCCACCCTTCCGATGATGGTTACATTATCAAAGTCAGGGCAACACTCGCAATCTTTGCGGTGTAGAGGAAGGTGGCCCACCGCAGTCTATTGGAGGGTTCAGTCATGCTCTCTCCTTCTCATGTTCACGCACCTTCCTCTACACTGCGCAGATGGCGAGTGTTGCCCTGACTTTGATAATGTAACCATCATCGAAAGGGGCGGTGATCTGGTGGCCAGAGAGATTCTGGAAGCTTACGCCATCAAAAAAGAAGGGGAGGACCGATGTTTCAGCCAAACATCACTTCATTTACATTGGAAGGAGATTGCCTTCCTTGACACACATTGATTGACAGTGACCGTGTAGGTATTTTGTTTCTGTTTTTTGCTGCTGTTAGTGTTTTGTGTTCTTTTCATTAAATGTTTCAGTTGAAAGTCAGCGCTTCCCTGTGTTCTTCTATTTACTCTGTGTTCTTGTTTTTTGCACGCTGTGTTACAATTTTTTTAACATTCCAAGGAGATTTTTCGGAGCTTACCATGTTTGTTATTGTTCACTCGTGTGCTGTCGTGGTACCCTTTGCCTCATCACGGCTTGTTTGGTTCTTGCCAATTTCCGGGAACTGTGCAGGCCTGCGATTTAATGATCGATGAAAGCAGCTTCACGGGCGAGACGGAGCCGTCAGCCAAGGTGACGACGCCCCTGGCAAAGGCAGGCAATGGCATTGCCTCCAAGTACAATGTGGCCTTTATGGGGACCCTTGTTCGCTACGGGAACGGCAGGGTGAGTAGTTTCTGTCCAGATTGGTTGAACTCGCGTTGGATAGGACAAGTGCCAATCGTGGCTGTCAAATAAGCTGTTCTGGTCACCGTGTGAGCAGTACCGCTCATCTGGTTGTCATCGTTATTTTTGCAGGGGATTGTGATCAACACTGGGGAGAAGTCAGAATTTGGGGACATCTTCAAGATGATGCAGGCAGAGGAGGTAAGTGGGGTTTAGATGGTGATGGATGCACACAGTGTCGAATTTCTTACGGCTGCTCCTCTCGCCAACAGGCGCCCAAGACGCCGCTCCAAAAGAGCATGGACAACTTGGGGAAGCAGCTGTCTCTCTACTCGTTTGGCATCATTGGTCTCATCATGCTTCTGGGCTGGATCCAGGGGAGGCCCGTGCTTGAAATGTTCAACATTGGCGTCAGGTGGGCACGACTGGACCCTTCAGCTGGGGAGTGTATCTTATTGCCAGCTCTGGCAGCTGCAGTCTTAGAAACAGGGCAAAACATAAGAACCTCTTGGGATAGAGTCTGTTTTGCCTCATTTACGTCTTTCTTTGATCTTGAGTTTTTTCACTGTTGCGAGGTCTGTTTTGTCACTGAATGTGTTCTGTGGCTGGCACCTAACCATTTCTGTCGCCCACCCGGGCATGGAAGTCGATAAGCCGTCTGCCAGCTGAACGCTGACGCAGTGCTCGTCTTTTCACTGATTAGGCAACAGTTAACGTCTTTTTCGAGTGCGTCCCTGTTACTTCCGGGGGGGGGGGTGAAACATCACATGTTCATACATACGAGGGGCGTCCCCAAAAGTTCTCGGCCTGACCCGAAAGGAGGCAATGGAGGTGGTTAAACGGGTTACTTTTCGACATAGTCCCCTTTGAGGTCCACACACTTTGGCCAAGGATGCTCCAATTCCTAAATTCTTTATGAAAAAAAAAATCTGAAGTTTGGTACTTTAAAATATGGGTCGCAGCATCACTGACGTCATTATCACCAAAAAACTGAACATCAGAAAGTTTTCTTTTCAGCTGGGGGATGAGATGGAAGTCTGATGAGGCGAGATCTGTCGAGTTTGGTCAATGGTTGACCGCAGAAAAGCCGCAGGAGTGGATGGCAGCCATCGCCACAGCAGTGCGGTGGGGGGGGGAGGTGCATTGTCCTAATGGGATAGCACCCCCCTTTGGAGCATACTGTGACGTTTGGCCTTAATGGTATCGCGCAAGCGATGAATCAGGGTTGTGTATTAGTTCCCGGTGATGCTGTGCCCTTTCTTAAGGTAATCGCTGAACAGCACGCTTTCCGAATCCCTCAAAAACAGTGGCCATCACTTTGCCTGCTGATGGAACAGACCGAGCCTTCTTCGGCATTGGAGGGGAGGGTTGTTTATACCGTTTAAACTGGGCTTTGCTGTCGGGTTCAAAGTGGTGGACCAAGGTTTTGTTCACAATTACAAATTGAGCGCAGAAGACTGCTGGATCTGACCTGAGCTGCTCGAGATTGTCCTTGGATGTGGTGTAGTGGGTGTGGTTTTGGTCATGAGAGCAATATTGGAACCCATCTGGGCCGGTTTTCTCGAAGCGATGGTAAACCCATTTTGGTAAACCACGGTGCCTAGGAAGGAAAAAGTACCTAGGTACTGTAATAAACGGCTGGATATAGAACAACAATAATTATTTTTGATTGGGCTGTAAGATGCGCCATCTATCGGCGAAACAAGCCAGTCATTTTGTTTATCCTCTTTCTGCTGGTTGTTATCGATCTAGTATGGTATTTTAAGTCAAGATGTAGTAATGTTGTACTTGAAGACCAATTTATTTGCTTCAGATGGTACGAAGAAATTTTAGCTACTATGCTAGAGTTTGTCGACGAATATTCGAAAATGTAAGAAACATTTCCTTCAATATGTTTCGCCATAAACAACGCATAACTTTCCCGTGTGCCTTCCAGTCTGGCAATGCCGGTACTGCAGTCTCGTTTTTGTTCCTTGCGATGCACGTTTCTGCGATTCCTGCTGATCTCAACTATTTGCCCCCTCTTCCGTTCGCCCAACCGATCCACCGGTGACGAGAAGCTAAGCTTCTCGTCAGCGATGAATTGCTGGCCACCGGGGATATGCAGAAACCTCGATGCTGTCGGCATACAATCGGCGCACTGCGAACAAAAAAACAGTACAATGTCCCAGCTGTTCACCCGGAACGAAGACTTTATCGAGGATAACCCCCTTTCTCCGCAAAGTAATCGCTGCTCACGAATTGGCGTGCATAGTGTGACAAATTAAACGTGTTAGTATAAATATATACCAATACTCGTTCGCAAAACATTTTTTTACTCACCATAAAAACACTTGCAAGGCTTATGTACCGTCATATGTCCTGGATCTCGGACTGCTGAAGAGTGATGCGTTCGCGGAATGCTGCCGTCGGTTAGTTTAATAGTCCCTCCGGACTACCGCTTTGCTTGACGTGCTAATAGGTTGATGGTGCATCATTAATATAACAGCCGGATCGAAATGAATGTTCAGAACCAAGCAGAACTACCGTATTTACTCGCAGAATGAACGCACTTTTTTTTCCGAAAAATTGATGCAAAGTTGGGGGGTGCGTTCATTACGCAAAGTAAAATTTTTGCGTCCGTATTTACTCGCATAATGAACGGACCTTTTATCCTGAAAAATCGAAGTAACTTCTTATCTATTTGCGCGCGGCGCCCGACCCCGTAACCAAACTGAGCTGTGCAAAAGAAAAAAAAAATCCTCTCCGTTTTCTTTTTCTCCTAGTTCCTTGGTTTCTTTCTTTTTTTTTTTTGCCACCTTTCGCAAGCTGTTTTGTTTGCTTAGGCGTTGCTTGGGCGAGGGCTCTCCGCTTACCTTTCTTATCTCCTTGCGCGCGACGCACGACCCCCCCGTAACCAAACTGCGCTGTGCAAAAAAAAAAAAAAAAAAAAAAGAAGAAAAAAAAAAGCTCCTCTTTTCCTTTTGTTTTTTTCTCAGTTCTGTGTTTTTTTTTGTTTTTTTTTTGCTGCTTTTCGCAAGCTGTTTCGTTTGCTTAGAGGGCTTCTCCGCTCCTCTTTCTTACCTCCTTGCGCGCGGCGCGCGACCCCCCCCACCCCTAACCAAACTGCGCTGCGCAAAAAAAAAAAAAAAAAAAAAAAAAGCTTTTTTTTGTTTTTGTTTTTTCTTAATTCCCTGTTTTTTTGTTTTTTTTTGCCTTTTTTCGCAAGCTTCTCTTTCTTACCTCCTTGCGCAACCGAAAGTCCAGACTGCGCTGTGCAAAAATAAAAAAGCTCCTCTCCATGTTTTTTTTTCTTGCTTCCGTTGGATCTTTGCGAATTTTTTTAAGGCCTTTTACAAGGCGTTTTGTTCGCCCACGCTGCCCATGTATTCGTGACCTCGCTCCACCAGGATAGAAAAGTGCGTTCATTTTGCGCGCGTTGGGGGAGGGGGTCAAAATTTTGACATCTGAGTTGGGGGTGCGTTTATTACGCGAGTGAAAAAAAAAGTCGAAATTTTGAGAGCCGACTTTGGGGGGTGCGTTCATTACGCGAGTGCATTCATTGTGTGAGTAAATACGGTATTAGCCCTCATTAAGCGATGTCGTGGCCATTTGCTTGTAGGTACTGCTCCTCCCTCGGTGCCCCTGCTCTCTCAGTCACGTGACCTAGAATTCCCCCTTCTAGGGACAATAGTTAACTTTAACCCACGGTTCGCGTTCGAGAAAACGGGCCCTGGCAGAGCCCGTTTTCTCGCTTCCGCATTCCTCATTCATGTCGTAAATGTAACATATAAAAGTGATAATTGGTTGCCTCAGTCATCTGTAGAGCTTCTTGTAGATGACGTACGTGGGGAATACACGTTCTGGCACCCAAACAGCTTGCCGGCGGGTAGACGAGGAGAACAGTAGAAATGTCCTGCTGAGCGAAGCAAATTCTAAACCGTTGTGCTAGAACGCATCCAAGCAACGCGAACAGCAAGTCGTCTGCTTCTTGCACAGGAGATATGGTGACTTCAAAACGACGCCGAGCTCTGATTGGTTTCGATTGAAATGATAGTGCGTAGACCTCAATGCTAGGTGCCTTGAGATATACCCACTATTTTTTTTTTAATCAGCCAATAGGAGCTCGGCGTTTTGATGTCACGCAACCCCTGCGCAAGAAGCAGACAAACTTGCGCTCTGCTTCGACTTAAGGAAAACCTTCCGTTTTATGGTCTCACTTGCTAGTTTTGTCAGTCAGTTTTTTTTTTATTAAACTCCTAATCAAGCTTTCTTGTTTCTATTTAGTCAGTGTAAGAGCAGAAATGGTATAGGTGGTATCATAAAGTTTTCAATATTTTGCATTTGTACTTTTATCAGTAAATTTGTGCTCATTTGAGTATTGGAATACTTTTGATTTGTACTCTGTTCAGAGTATTGGAATACTTTTGTTTGATAAACAGGGACTTGAAACATTTGTATTGCCTAATGATGAACTGTAGTCAGTATTGGACTTTATTTCATACCATACTATTGCAACTTGAAATGGTTTCGTTAACTTATGGAACGTGCAATTTAGGCGGTTAAACAGTGAAAATGCCTTGTTTTCATGAACCTTAAGTTGTTTTTCTTTAGTTGCCTATGCCTACTATTGTAAATTCATGAGGGGAACCAACCCACTACCTCTGTTCTCAATGGCAGCCATTCAAATATCTTTTTTGCTATGGACTGGAATATATTTAAAGAAAGGTCGTGTTTGGAAATGATTCTAGAATGTCACATGGTGATGTTTTTTTATTGATATTTCTTTTTGTATTTCGAAAAACACACCTGGTGCTTATAGCACCAAGCAGCTCCAAGATTTTCTTATACCGCTCCGAAACTCGATTTTTGTTGCTCCTGAGCTGCTCCAAAGCTGAACTTTTACTGCTCCAAAGCTGCTCCAAAGGGGCATCTTTGCTGCTCCCAGGCCTGCTCCAAAAGACTGAAGCTTGCTTCCACCCCTGAAAGAGTAATTTGATGCAAACATTGCACTGAAAAATTGAATTCTTGCCTTTTATGTTGTCGACAAAACCTTAACGTCTTTTTATAAAAGACATCCACAAAGTAAAAAAACAAAAAAACACCACAGTTGCATTGTCCATTAAATTCCAGTTAGGAAAACAATAAGTGAGCCTTTCCTTTTGTCCCGTTACCAAACAATAGTTTTCCTAATGTGAAATTTATGCCAAAAAGTGGAACACAGAAAAACATGTTCAAAGTGCTCAAACTTATATCTTTTCTTTTAGCATCAATTGACCTCACATAATTTATAAAAAAAAAATAACTATGTAGTGTGAACAAATTAAACTTTCTGGGAATACTTTCTAGATGTTGGTGGATGTAAATATGGCATTTTTCAAAATCAATTTGTTATGCAGAATTTTTTTTTTCTTCTGGGTATTGTTTCTCTTAAGAGAGAAGGCTTTTTGTGCAGTAGTGCTTGAGAACCACGTGACGTGTCTGACCTGCCTATTTCAGTCTGGCCGTGGCAGCCATACCAGAGGGCCTGCCAATAGTGGTGACAGTCACCCTTGCTTTGGGGGTGATGCGCATGGCCAAGAGGAAGGCTATCATTAAGAAACTGCCCACCGTGGAAACCCTCGGTAAAAATGCTCCCCCCTCATTCTTATGTTCACAATGCTTGCATGTGAACATAACTTTTGCTACTTTCTGTATTGTGTATATTCTGTACATATATATGTCGTATGTTTTTTTCACATGTGGTGGCGGGCTGGCAGGCGCTCTGCGTAAGGGTTTTTCACCTATCTGCCTAGCCCCGCACACCACCACATGTGCCCATTGCAGTATGTGCAAATAAAATTATTATTATTAATATTATTATCTCTATGTCTTACTTGCTTTTCTTCGCGGTGCTTGGTGCCCAAACATGCGAGGGATGCTGCGGCTAACGGGGCAGTGTTATTTGCTTGCAGGATGCGTCAATGTTGTTTGCTCTGACAAGACGGGCACACTCACCAAGAACGAGATGACTGTTTGCAGCGTCATGACTTCAGAGCTGTACCATGCTGAGGTGACTCTCAAGCTTCCGTTGTACTCTAACTGTGTATCAAATTTTACTTTTAGATTCTTACAGTGTTATTTTTTGAGCCTGCAGTAAGATGAGTGAGTGCTCCCATGCTTCCCTTTTTTTTTCGTAAAGAGACGTTTTTGTTTCTTTGCCAGGTGACTGGTGTCGGGTACAATGCAGATGGCCACGTGATTCTTACCGAGGGTGGGGAGAGAGATGTCCAGATGGATTCCTTGCGGTTGTTGCTTGAGGTACGGTTCATACATAGTTTTCCACCATGCTGTAGGGACTGTGATTTCGTGGCCTAGTTTATTCGGGATTTTTTTAACGCTCTGCTTGAGCCACTATGATGAAATGAGTCCATTCTCCTTTTTCATTGGAGATAGAACCAGCATATTGCACATAGTTGTGCCAGGCTTCGAAAATATTATTATTAAACAAGAAAAAAGGTTCATGTGGGAGCTAAAAAATGTTAAGGCGCCTCCCAAGTAAACATTCTCTCTCTGCTCTAGAAAAAAAAAAAATGTTCCAGTGTTCTTTGTTGAATTTAGACAGGGAAGCTGCAGGGCATCATACAACACGCAACTTGCACAGTTGAAGCATTTCAGTTGTTTTAATGTACCATTTCATGGCGAATCTTGGAACAATCCTCTATGCCAGTGTGATTTTACAAATTAAAGAACTTCATTTTTGCCGGTGTTTCCAATATCTTGTTTGCAAGGAGTCGTTAGTGCTGGGATAATGTTTTCACTCGTAACTGCCTGCATTTGCTGTCTCATAGTTTTATCATCCTTTTTTTTTTAAATTTTCAACAGTGTGGCTGCATTTGCAACAATGCCGACATCCTTGGAAGTGAACTGAGGGGGCAGCCAACCGAAGGGTCCCTTTTGGCTGTTGCACACAAGGTAAACTGTTCTTATGACTGGAGCAAACTGGCCCATGAAACAAACATGCTGAACTTATTTTTTATTTTTTTTTTGTAACCTTCGACTACCAAGGGGAAAAAAAATAAGCTGCCGTAGCATCCCAGACAGACGCCCATCAACAGACGATTGATGGGCGTCTGTTGATGGGTTCTTTTATTTATTGTACTCTTTTTAGACAAATTATTGAATAAATTGTGTGCACCTAAAATTTAACGGTTTTTATTGGTTTTCCGAGCTTCTTGCAGTGAGTTTTTGATTTTTGAGTTGGCAACACTGGGAGCTAAGAAACTGGCTGCTTCTTTTTACAAAAATCTATGCTAACAATTAGAAGTCTGTTGGCAATTCTTTTCTACAATGCCAGAATAATAGAAGCCCTGTAATATTTGCTCCGAGAGCTCTGGGTGCCATCCACAAATTGAAAATGTTAGCATGTGCATAGAGTCATGCACAAATTATACCATGCCCGTTAAAACTGCATTGAAAGCAGGGTGTCGAGCAAGTCATTACTCTAGTTTGGTTTGGGTTCAGCAGCTTTGTATTTTCTTCCAATTTGGTTCCAGTTCAGTCAAGCCCACAATCTAAATATAGATACTTAGAGCATGGTCCCTTGATAGCCCTGGTCTAGAGTGTTGAACCTCAGTCGACCTTACTTGCTTCTCTTTGATTGCAATGCGGTAAAGCTCCTCTCCCATACCCTTCTTGCATTGTGCACCCTTTCCACTTTGTTCCCTTTCTGAAGCTCTGAAGTTGCCCATGTGGAAGAGAGCCTCGAAGTCACAGAGGGGGGCTCGCTGAGCAAACACACTCTCTGTTTCTCAGTTTATTTGTCATTTTGGGAAGTCAAGTTTTGTTGGCAAAATGGAATTTTTTCAAAAATATATTGAAGTCGAAATTATAAAAACAAAAAGGGCTCTATACTGCACTAGCCTTGGCAATTTGGGAAAAAAAAAAAAGAATACCCACAATGTTATTAAAAAAGAATTGTTGCAAGCTAGAGCGGCTTTTAGATTTCGAACTTTTTGCTATTATGCTTCGTTGTGCTTATCGGATCTTGTTGTGATTCACCCACAGTTATTAGAGACGTGCTAGTAAAATTTCTGCTCTGTAGTTGTTTTCTAAGTTGCTTCAAAATAAAAATAAACATTGAAGGTAGTGCGATGAGAGGGTGCTTTAAGGTGCCCTTTTAATTTACGCCAGTTAATGCCATCACTCCAGTAGACCTTTCTCAAAGTGCGCAGTGTCGTTTGCGGTGCTGAAAGGAATGCCAGGAACTGTCAGAATCGGCTGTAGTAGAAAACGGAGGCGAGCAACTGCACTAGCCTTCCTCTCTCTCTCTCGCTCTCTTCAATGTCACATGATAGACACTGCAGGAGCAGTTAGGAGCATTCAAGACATTTTCACAATTTGTTGCGCACTTTGCTCACGGCCTTTCGGAATTACTGCAAAAGATCTAGTATGAAATAGTGTTTCTAAAGAGCAATAAAGAAAGGTACAATCTGACCTTTTAATAGGCATAAAATGACTTTGTATATGGTAATTGTTATTCAGCAGTGACCACACCGCTCACATATATTTAAACAAGACTTCACCACTGATGTTTAAATTGGCCTAGTATAACCAACGGCAAACAGTGCAGCTGTCGCCGAAACACTTTCCAGTGAACTGGTAATCATCAGAGGAAGTTGTGATAAGCACATTTATTGCAAACCACTTTCCAGTGAACTTGTAACCATCACAGGAGATTGTGGTTTGGTTCTGGTTCCAGTTCATTATCAAAATTTGTCAGTTTTGTTAAAGATTCAGTAAAAAAAAAAAAAAAAAAGGGTTGTAGTTTTTTAATTTTTTTTTTTATGGCTTTCTGGTTTGGATTTGGGTTGGAAGTTGTCATTTGAAGACCATATTTTTGCTACTGGGCTTTGTGATATCACATCAGTCATGTTGCTTTCATATAGCATATAAGCTTTCACTCATACATTGCAGCAGGGCTGCCAATCCGAGGGAAATTTCCCAGATTAAGCTAATATTCAGGTCTATGTGGGCTGTATAGCATTCATCCATCCATCCATCCATCTTGCTAGTTTGAGGGAAATTTTGAGCACCGTATATTCTGAAATTATGTAGCTCAATTATAATTTTTTTTCGAGATAACATCGAATTTCAGCGGCTTTGGCTACATTTGGGTTACTTCCTTCAGCCGTTTGGCAGTCTGTGGTGCGACCATCTGGCAACACTGGGGAGTACTTGGCTAGGTGGTGCAAGGTACCGCCCCTTATAAAGGGTAAGGCCGTTAGCATTCATCCATCCATCCAACTTCTTTCGGCAAAATAAGTTCTCATCATCCTTTGAAAAGCTATGGAGGTAGGTACCAGCGAAGTTGAAGATTCTGAGAGTGTTGCTGTGCCTTCTCGAAAGAACGAAAAGCTTGAGTAAAAGAAGAAATGCTACAATGCCTGGAGATATACCATGACTAATAATATTTCGTGACGTGCTATCGTGTTTCGTGTGTTCGAGTTCGAGGACTCTCGCTTGTGTTCCACCTTTTGTTTTGGACTGACTAATATAAAAAGCGCAAATGAAGTTATTAAAGCAGTATGTATCATGTTCTGATGACGTGCACAACATTTAAGGTGAAGATAGGGTTTCATTCATCAGTTTGAATTTACCGGGATGTAGTCTGCTGCTTGCGCAGGGGTTGCCGTGACGTCAGAACGACGCCGAGCCCTGATTGGCTTTGGTTGAAAGGAAAGTGGGTAGACCTCAATGCTAGATGCCTTGAGGTCTACCCACTAATTTTTTTAATCAGCCAATAAGAGCTCAGCGTTCTGACATCATCGCAACCCTTGTGCAAGAAGCCAACAAACTTGCGCTCCGCATGCAATATATTTCTCATAGTAAAAATGGAAGTGATGCAGAAGACAATAAAAATTTAGTATTATATATTTATTTTTGGCAAGCGAGGGTGATTTCGGCAGAAGTAGGGAAATTTCAGGCGTCCGCTAGAGAAATTTTGACTTCCCGTGTTGGCAGCCCTGCATTGCAGGTATGCATTTTGCAGCCTTCAGTCTTATTCTTTTCTATTGTTTCACATATGACAATTTATGTCTTATGTTTAGATGTGTGAGCTCTAGATATAGGTAATAGTCTACAGTTTTTGTAGAAGTGATGCTTTATCCTTGCATGTTTATTCTGCCTGATACAGATGGGAATCTACGATGTGCGGAACCATTACGTGCGTCTCCAAGAAATTCCCTTCAGCTCTGAGCACAAGATGATGGCTGTCAAGGTCATTCCCAAGTTTGGAGGGGTCAGTGGTTTTTGCTCACGGTTTTTCTTATTTCTGTGGTTAATTTGGAAACCAACCATATTTTACTCGTCTTAATTGTATATTTTGATCAGAAAGAGCATAAGGACATTTTCGAAGATACTTTACAGTTTTAGGGGGGGGCTCATATCTTAGCTTCGTTTGATTTACTCACACCCCCTGCACCAGTGCAGAAAAGTGTAGTGCAGTTTACTTCCGGTATGTGTATTTAGATACGACTGGAAGTACAGTGCCCTCCACTTTCCTGCACCGGTGCAGGAGGTGTAGGTAAATCAAACGCAGCTGGTGTTGTCATTTTCGAGATTTGCTCACCTCACTGAAACTAAAACCAAGCCAGTTTTGTGATGTTAGTAGGACAAGATATTATACCGAAGTCATCCTAGGTAAAGGAAGATGTGAAATTGGTTACCAGAAAAAGTGACAGAGTGCAGACGCGTTGTGAAGAAACCCTTATCGTACTCGCCTCGGCGCATCGTGACGGGGGTGTGGGATCATAGTGTAGAAGGACATTGTTGATGTTACAGCGATTCCACCGGTGCTCTAGACTGAAACTTACTAATTTCCGCTTCATCCTTTTGTGGCTGTTGAATGTCACTCGATAATTGTACGCATATATTTCTCAATTGTAAACACATTACCATTGGAAGAAGGTGAAATTTCTGGGCACGGCAAAACATCTTTACTCTCAGTTGAACTAGCGGAATTGTTGTATAGCATTGCATCACAAATTTGGATGTATGCCACCAGGAGATGGTCTCTATTCACTTATGTCACGGCTCTGTTTTTTTTTGCAGCTATGAAACCAACCTCAGACACCTACGTTTCTTTCTTTTTTCTTTTCTGTGATTGCATAAAGTGTTTTACTTTTTTCTGTCTAAATGCCTTCTCTGACCATCTGATCCCTAGCAGTGGGTAGTTTGCCTGCTTTGAATTTTGGAGAAGCATATTGTCCTTCTGTGCACAAATGAATATTTGGGGAACTGGCGTGTTTGCAGGAGCAGGAGCAGTACTTTGTGAAGGGAGCCTTGTCCAAGATCTTGGCCCATTGTACCCACTACAGCAGCCACGGGGTGGCGGTGCCCATGTCGACTGAGCGTGCTTCGCAGTACATCAAGGAAGCCCAGTTCATGGGCAGGAAGGGACTCCGAGGTGAGTCTCCGCGCTTGGACGTGTGTCTGCTCTTCATAGTCGTGCAAATGCACTGGAACGTGAACATTCCATCTTGGGTGTCTCACCTTCCACCACTCAACTAGCTTCATTGTGTGTCCTTGAGAGGTCCAAATTAACTTGGGCCCAAGATGGTTCTGCCGCCGTCAGAACTTAGTTTGTGTCCTGGTGCCTGTCATTTTGAGTAGAGTTTGAGAACTTGCATCCACACATTAAATTACAGTGAGTGCCTTACAACTCTTTTTACCTGCCCAAGACTTTAGAAGAAACATGTAAGAGGACAGAACACAACCATTTGCAATTAGTAGTGACTGCTAGTAATTACTAGTGTTATGATTTTCAACGTCAGCCGAGGGCACTTTGGCCCGAACAGTGCCGGGGATTTAATACACAGTGCTTTGGTATTCCAGGAGCGCCAAGTTGACCTCTGTTGACGCATCTGGAACTCCAGAGCGCTGTCCCCCGAAGCTACTACTCTCGGTTGTCTTTCTTTTCCTGGAATTGTGGGGCACTACTTTTTGCAACATGTTTTTAAGGTTTTTCGACAGTGCAGGGGAGCGGAAGTGGTGGGCTGGGCTTTCTAGTGTCTGGTGTTGTGTGCAGTGCTCTCCCTGGCGAGTGGAACACACCTGAACCAGCTCAAGTTTTTGGGCCTGGTAGGAATCTTGGACCCACCCAGGCCTGGAGTTCGGGAGGCAATCGAGACCCTCCACAGCAGTGGCGTCAACGTCAAAATGCTCACGGGAGACGCCGAAGAAACAGCATGCACAGTCGGTGGGTCTCGTGGCCACCTTTAAAATTGCCATGCCCGGGCTTGTTCAAAATTGCTCAGCTCAGCTTGGGTGTTGCTGAGCAAGATCACAATGAATTTGTCAGAATAGCGGCGATTACCTAAGCATAAAATATGCTGAGGCACTGTAAATAATTTATCATTACTTCTTTTCCCTATTTAGTGGCTTCTCTTTTAATTGCTTGGAGCCGGGACCTCAGGATGATGTACAGACCGGAAAGCACAACTTTGGAGCAATAATAAATTATTTATGGCCTCTTGCATATTCTATGTTGATTTTTATGAGTGATGTTATATGCACTATTTAGAGTAAAAAAATGCAACTCAAAAGTTTGACGTCTGTCCATCAGTAGCCATTCCTGGAGTCTGGTTTAATTTTTAGTTGCAGCGTTTTACCTAGTTTTGGCATGAAGCTTCCTCTCACCTTTGGTACAGTTTGTAGTTTCCTTTTTTTTATGTCTGCATTTAGAAAAGAACTCTTCTTATACCTAAAGTTATTTTCTCTTTGACAGTGCCATCAGGGAGCCAGTAAAAGAAACATTGCTAGACAAAAAAAGCTCATGTAGCGCTTGCTTGTGGTTGCAGCTGCACGCCTGGGCTTACATGCAGCGGGGAATGTTGTGCTCTCGGGTGACCAGCTAGACACAATGACAGACATGGAGCTACAACGAATCATCGGCTCTGTGTCGGTCTTCTACCGCACTGCGCCAGGGCACAAGCTCCGCATTGTCAAAGTAAGCATGATTGCCACCTGGTTGGTTTGTGGCACTTTTGCTATCTATTATTTTTTTATATTTTATATAGTGTATCTTGTCCAGTAGGGCCTCTTAAATATGTAAACTGGCCTTTGTGGGAGCGATGGCTTTCTGGAAAAGGTCTTCGGATGAATTTGTTGTGGATCGTGCACAGCGGAAAGTAGGTTGGAAGAAGGCATCTCTCGAGTTGCCAATGTCCCAATGAAGTTAAAAAAGTGCATTAGTATTATTCTGTCAGTGGAGCTAGTGCTTACTGTAAACTACTTATATTTCACGATGACTTAACTTTTGTGAAGATAAAATAATTGAGAAAAGTTGATCATATGAATAGCTTGTTGATATGTTTTCCCAAGGACTGAAATAAAAAAAAAGTAGTATAATCCAGGAGGACGTAACGATTGACAACACTTTTGGGGGCCTATGTATGAGACGTGAACGTCCTCTCACACAACAATTTATTTCACATGGACTGTCACTGTTGTGGAGAACTACCAATTTTATTAAAATACTTGTCAACCTTTTTTTTAATCTGTTACTTGAAATTAGGGGTCAATCTCTAATGTCAACCAAAGAAGGTTGACCTACAAAAGTGGGCAAAATTTGTGAGCCCATCGATCCAACCCAAGTGCTCCCCCGTGCCAGTTGGTGCTCCTAGCACACCATGCAAGACGGTAAAACTCGACATGCGTACGGGTGCAAAAACCTTAACTTGCATGCACTGTGCATGGTGGCGGTGCATGATTTATCAGCTCGATCCCCCACACAAAGCGGAACTAGTGGAGCAGAAGGAATAACCGAGCCACCGAGCATAGCAGAAGAGCGTGCATGCCGGAGAAAGAGGTGGATAGATGAACAAACTGTTACGAAAGCTTCGGAGCCTTCCATGCCTAGTTCAAGGTCATGCCAACCTGGGGAGAACGCAAGAAGCAAAAAAGAAGCACGTTGCAGGGAGACTGAGATGAAAAAGAGGGGGAGCAGAGCATAACTAAAGGGGGTGTCCCTGTTGGATGGCAGGTTTTGTGTGTAACAGCCGGGAAGGCAAACACAGCAAATAGGAAATGAATACATATATTTCTATGGGTGTTGGTTGGAACCGGCATTCGGGAACATAGCAGCCGGGAAAACCTAATGACCGAGAACATATCAATGATCATTCTACCATATATCAGGAGCCCAGCGAGAAATTTAGTCCTGATTGTGAAATATCACTTTTTTTGCACAATATTTGAAGATTCAGCATTGTGGCAAATTTGCAATACATTAAGCCCACATACATATCATTGTTTATAGTTTCTGAAAACAGCCCTAGATATATTAGTGCACACTCAAGGGATCTGGTGGGTGTTTGACTGCTCACAAAGCTCGGCCCATAAGATATAACATAGTCAGATATTAGTACAGTTGACTCTCAGTAATTCGTGACTCGTTCAAACTTTAGGTTAGTTTGAAGCAGGGGTGTGGTCCTGGAAATTGCACGTACCAGTCCATAAAAAAAAAAACTGCAATAATTAGAAGTCGTAAGCTTTGGGATTGGTCAATTCTAAACATTTTTCCATCATCCAGAAACTCTGGAACCATGAAAAAGCCTCGCAATTACGCACCAGTATACACCAACACGCGGCTCTGACGTCACGCCACCGCGGTGGCGCTGCTGTCGGCACGGTGCATGCGCAGACGCTTCACTTGACGCGAATCTGGTTTCTGCATATGCGCAGTGCCCAGAGCTGATGTGGGCCAACGCAGACTTGCTTGTCAACAGCTTGTCTGTCTATACTTTATCGGTTTTATCTACCTCGTGTGCCGTCGAAAAAAAAGAGGGACTGAGCGCAGCGTACGGCAAGCAGCCAGGCAGCCGAGACAATTAAGTTGTCAATCCAAGTCAAGCCAAGCCAGCATGACTGCAGGTGCAAGCATCACAGCATCATTTCCACGGAAGTGAGCGCGGCGTGTGTGGCCAACAAAGCTTAGTTCGAGTCTTTACCCGGCCTTATGAGATGTTTTGTTCATTGAATATATTGAGGGGGTCAACAAACATGCTGCAGTCTAGTTCACTTTCGGACCGTGAAATCATGCAAGTGGTTAGGCCTAGTAACAGTTGCGTTGCTTTCCGTGCCTAGTGGCCGAGTGCCGTCCTTGTGGCACCACGGAGTACAGTTTTGCGTTTTCTCTGGCAAAGAAACTGCTGAAGGCGTCCACACCCTAAGAAAGGTCTGCAATTTGCAGAGCATAGTTAATACTGTGTGTTTTTTTTAGCAGAGTGCTGCGCATTACCATTAGCGGAGTCAAGCAAAAGTAAATTCCCGGTGAATACTGAATAAAAAACAAACGGTTTGAGTGTGTTTCTTTTCTTAATTCGAAGTGTTTTTCTGTCCCCGTTAGCTTCAAATTATCGAGAGTCAACTGTAGAACTAAGACGTATATTTGTGCAGAGCTGACTGAATGTATGCTCTGAATTACGATTGTACCTGTATGGAGAATTCATCTATACTGCAAGTGTTGCACTTCCTTGGCAGGCATTGCAGAAGAACCACTACATTGTGGGCATGACTGGCGATGGCGTGAATGATGGTGCAGCTCTGAAAAAGGCCGACATTGGCATTGCCATGGGAAAAATTGGCACTGATGTGTGCAAGGAAGCAGCGGACATGATTCTCGTCGATGATGACTTCTTCACCATCATGTGAGCATTTTTAAAACTACAATAGCTTCTTTTTTGTTTCAAACAATACCATCACTAATTTTTTATGGAAAGAGTTTGGCTCATAGGCACGAACAACTGCCTAGCAAAGACAACTTTTGCGAGGGTTACCTTTTGATCTACCTGCACTGCCTGTACCAGTGAAGACAGTTGTGCCATGTTTCATATTTTTTGGACTGTAGTTCGCAGACTGTACATGTTTGAAAGTTGAAATTTTACGTGGCACGTGGGACTATCTACAGGTGCAAACTATACAGGATATTTGTTTTTCAAGATTGTTCCTGATGACGAGACGCAGTTAATTTTATGAATGAAAGATTGTATTATTCATGATTTTTGCATGATACAAGCTCCTTTGTGAGCCAAAAAAGCAGACCTTTGTCAAGGTGGGCTGTGTATAAGAAGATTTTTGTGTCGACTCAGCACCAGGTGCGGACTATCTAAGCAAAAACTTTTATGTTTTACCCCAAATTTGCCTTTGTGGACTATACACTGGTTGCGGACTATAGTTAGGAAAATATGATCCTTCCATTGTGTGTTTCGAGACATACTGTGCTTTTTACAGGGTGTTTGATTTTAATTAGAACAGATTTATTTAAAAAAAGCTGCAAGAGGTACACTAATGTAGTCTGCACTGGTTTGTTGTACGGCCAGGGGGACATATTATAAGGGCTAATCCTCACTATAAGTTGTGTATTGAGTTAATTGTTAATTAACTTTTTATTTAGTGAAAATAAACGTATGGTTCCAATTAGAAACTTGTTGAACGCCGTCTTACACCACTAAATCAATCAATTTTATAGAGGTTTAAAGTGCAGGGGTGTGCTAAAGTTCCTAAGTTAGACAAACCATGCGAAAAACAGCTCTTGGTCCTACCATTCCACAAAAACCTAACGCACAGGTTAGTAAAAAGAAAAGTAACGAACGCCACAAACTTTATAGTACGCAGATTTACTCACGATCGTGATAGAACCTACCCTTGAATCACAACCGAAACATCCCGTTTGCGCCGCTTCCAGAGACGAATTGTTGGGAGGCCGAAATCCCGCGCCATGCCTAATTCTTTTCATGCTCAGTAAGTTTCTAATTGAACCATATGAATATTTTCATTGATTAGAAAGTTAACACATTGTAGTTATCGTAATATCCAGATCAACGCCCACCCCCCTGCCGCCGGAAATTCATAAAAAAGGTGGGGTGGGCCATGTCTCGGCGGGTAAGCACAAAATGTTAAGAAGAAACTAAAAAAACGCCCATTTTATCATATGCCTATGGTGCTACATGAAACTCAAAACTTGAATTAGTTTCATTGTTTTATACAAGAAATGCTCGTAAAAGAACATTTTACCATTGCAGTCCGTTGTTTACATACATACGATGAACATCGCCTGTCGGTATCTAGCGCGAATGTTTGTTCTCTTTGTTAGTAAAAATACAAGAAAATAGAAAAAACAACCAAGTGCAGCGAACGAGCAGGCAAAAGAAGCGATGAAGGGCGATGCTGGGGGAAGTGGGAAAGCCGGAGATCGCGTTGGGGGGGGGGGGGGGGGGGGACAAGGGCAAATACTTTGGCGTCGGGCCATGTTGGGCGCCTTGTCAATTATAAGGAGCAGGCTCTTGCGCAACTTCCTTGTTCGGTGCATACACGCGTGCTTCTGCGCGCGGTGTGCTATCAACAGAGGCTGAGGCAGCGTTGCTCCGTGGCGTGGACGGCACCACGGACACGGAGCTCGAAACGCGACGCTTTGCAAACATCTGTGAGCGGCGTTCTAGCAAATCTTTATTTACCCATTGCATAATCTTACCAACCACGATCGCGATGTTCCGGGAGGAGGGGCGGGTTCGCGATGACATTATTTTGGTGGAGACAAACTTTGACCTTACATTTTTGACCTTGCACTTCGCGGTTACATTCCAGGATATGAGGCGTTCACGGACCTCGCGATCCCTGAATAGGTTACTGCTTTTGTTATCTTTCTGACTTTTTTTTTTTTGTCCGAACAAACTTTTATGCAAGTAAAATAAAGTTTTATTTTATTATCTCCATCGTTTTCCTTTCGCATGCATGTACTCCTACTTCGGGGTCGCGGAAACCGGGGAGAAAATGCATGAACAAAGTGAAGTGTGTTTCCGTACTTCGTTTTAGTTTGTCACGAACGTCCTTCAACCGTAAGGCTCGCTGCTGCGTCATTCAGGTAGGATGACCGTTCGCGGATCACGGAGTCCGCGCTGGGGAATTTGTAGGGGTGGGCGATCACTCGGTGCTTTAAATCTGTTCAAATTAAAATCAAGCAGCGTGTATATTATACAGATGCTTGATTTTAATTTGAACACATTTAATAAACAAAAGTTGTGAAAAGTACACTAATGCGATCTGTGCAAGTGAGTTATACGGCCAGGGGGACACAATACAGGACGTTAATTGTCGTGGTAAGAAATAATTGCCCTAATATCTCGAGGCATCGGCAATCCCCAAGTCATTGCCCACCCTACTTTTTGGGCGTATATCGATTTTCAAAAAAACGGAGTGTTCACCCACCCCTACAAATACCCCAAAGTGGACTCCGCGATCCGCAAACAGTCTTCCTACCCGAATGATGCGGCAATGGCTTTTCAGATACAGTGTATATATAAAACCATTGCTCCTTTTTTTTTTTAACCAGTGCAGAACAATGTAGGTAAACCATAGGGCTTCTTATGACTGCCTCATCTGGGATTAAATTAGTACCATCAGTAAATCGTCACATTGAGGCAAAACTAGCTTATGGAGGCATATTACGCAAACATGTCACGGTTATTGTTGTGACTTGTAGATTTGTGGAACGCATGTGCAAGTTTCACCTATGTGCCCATACATTTCAGCTCAAGCCTTCAAAAAGCTTTGAGCATAATGTAAGGTGCCTGCATTCGGGGGTGAAATTGAAATTTTGGTATTTTTCAGGGCTGCTATTGAAGAGGGAAAGGGAATTTTCTACAACATTCGAAACTTTGTCATGTTTCAGCTCAGCACGTGAGTAGTTTACCAATGAAAGATGGTCTGTAAGGAGAAAAAAGAAATCCACTACAAAACAAGGTTTTCATGTTCTTACTGATTTCAGGAGCATTGCAGCACTTTCTCTGATTGCTCTGTCAACTCTGATGAAGATTCCCAACCCACTGAATGCAATGCAGATCCTCTGGATCAACATCATTATGGATGGCCCTCCTGCTCAAAGGTAACTCAAACAAGAATGACCCAGGTCCCTGCCCAGTTGCTATTTTGTTGAGGTTGACTTATTTTCATTATTGTAATTATAAGACCTTGCTTATTGCCCCATTGTATTGTGCTGTTTTATTTATTTTTGTGCAAGCATTGTTTAACACACTTCCATCTAAGGTATTATAGTCGTTTTCACCTCAAGAAAAAAGGAAGATTTGCATATTGTTCATACGACGCACAAAGTAGTTCTTACAAGATGTGGTTGTCGGAGGAAGAAGCTATATTTTTGGCTTTTGAAACGTGCAGGTCCTGGTAAGATAGCACAGATCTAATCTAAAATTCATCTACATGTATCTTCATTCTCTGCATAAAGGGGGAAATTAGTAACGCTCTTCGAGGAGCCAGACTTTTTTTTAGTACACTTCCTAAGGTGAAAACGAGCATAGACCAGCATCTTAGGGCTTTGAAAATTGAAAGAAAATGGTAGTAAACGTTTGTGCTTTAAAAAAAAACAAAAAAAAAACTGTGTTTTGTGGGTGATAGAAGCACTTCTTGCATTTTATTAGCCTTGGCGTGGAACCCGTGGATCACGACGTGCTAAAGCAGCCCCCGCGCAACACCAAGCAGCCCATGATTACCCGAGACCTTATCTTCAACGTGGTGCTCTCTTCTCTCATAATCATCCTCGGGACCTTGTTCATCTTCCGCAATGAGGTGAGTGCCTAGAAGGTGTACCTTTTTGCCGTTGTCTTTTAATGCAGAATGTGTTTTGGGGCTGGATTCCAAGCCTAGAGCTTCACAAAACTTGGCAACGAAAAGATAACACGAGAATCTAGCCACATGTCTCTCGCTCAGTAATCCGATACCCTATCTCCTGAGCTAGCAGAGTGGCTTTGGTGATCTTGGTTGTCTGGTACAGTAATCCCTCATTATAACGAAATTGCTTTTCTCGAATTATTGCTTTTATCAAAGTTCAACGTGATCCCGACCAAAATACACACATTTTTAACCGAATTATTCTAAGTGTATCGTATCGGCAGTTGACCACGCGTATTATGAAGGCCGCGGTGCCGAAAGCACGCGAGCCTGCATGGAGGCGCACGGAGACCATTGCTTTCCCTCCCCCTTTTCCACCAAGGCAAACGGCAAACTGAGAAAATGGCAAACAAGAAAACGGAGTAAACGAGTGACGGACGACAGAGCACACAGAGCGCCGCTTCCGATGCCGATGCGCTAACACAGGGACGCAAGCAGGGAGCAGCGTCAGCAGCGTCCACGTTCCGACGCTGCCCGACTCCTGTCGGAATAGGGCCAAGGGAACGATGGAGCCTGGCGGAGGTCATCCCTTCAGAAGCCCCCCAACGCACACGCCTGCGGCGTACTACACGCATACGTGCGTCGTATGGAAGATTGGGAGTGTTTACCAAACGTCGCTTAGATCTGCGAAATTGAGAAAAGTGGCCGACCCAAGTCCGAAATCGCCAAAGAATTCAACATTCCGGTACCAGCTGTTTGACGCTGTTCACCACTTTGCAGAACAAGCAAGGTTTTGAACAGGTTCAAGAAGTTTCTCATGCAACAGAAAGCGTGCTCGCAACCTGAAGATGAAAGATTGCCAACTGCTTGCGATCTTCGGATTTTCTCTCGCGAGAATGCTTGCCGAGACGGCGCACGATTCCCAGAGCTGCAACGATCTCTCCAGGAGTGTGTAAAAACATGTCGGCAAAGCCACCAAGGATAACTTTGATTCGTTCCCGCTTGTCGATACGGATGATCCCATTCTTACTCCTGCCACAGATGCTGCGATCGTAGGCCTTGCCTGCGGCTAGGGTAAACACGAAGCGACGTCACGGAAGCACCTCGGGAAATGCCAATGACTGCGGAGACACGAAACATCTTACGGCGGCGGTGACGGTGTTCTTGTGATACCTGGAGCAGTTCGAGGAGAACTGATGCCCGGATTAAATTATCACCAAATTCCACTTAATTCTTTTTTTACTCGGTAAAGCTGCTGCGAGATGTTTATGACCAAGGTTTGTTTGATTAAATATACGGTCAGAGTGTACCGTAGTGTTCCCGTCCACCTTCAAGGCTGCTGGCACTTTTTTTTTGGCTCTATCGCTTTTATCAAATCGCCGCTTATATCAAATTTTTTTGCCATCCCGTTGACTTTGTTATAACGAGAGATTACTGTATATATGCATACCTGTGTTGCGGCGAAATCTTTGTCGTCCCAGTGGTACGAGCAGCTCAAAACACAGCGCACATTGTCTCCTGACTTTGTCTGCAGAATGGTCTTGAAAAATAAAAATTACAAAAAAATATATTCAAAATTTTTCTTTATCAGTCCTAAACAACATATTTCTAATTACTGCACTCGGGAAGTGCGCATATATAGTTACATCGATTCAAAGTTTTATATTAAGGCTGTTTACAAGCATGGTTTAAAAAGATAATGAAAAAGTTAATTCTCAGAATGAATTTTTTCATCACAATGTTTTGCCCATGGTATCTCTGATCTGGAATTTGGATTTAATATTTTTGAAAGAAAATGTTAACTACTCATTTTTTAGAATGGCAGACTTTAATGACTCATTTTTAATTAGCGCGAAATTTTTTAACTTGCAATAATGTTTTTTAGAATAATGCTAAAATTATAAGAATGGTTTTGTTGCACTCTAATGTTTGTAGAACATGCAGGCATCCTTTGTGCCATAGTTTTTGATGGGGGTATGCTAAAAAAAGTTGGGCAGAAACTTTTGTGATAAGGTAGATATTTTCTTCCAAATTGTAATAGATCGGAAAAAAATGTGCTTATATTCGTGCTTAGCATGAAAATTTATAGTAGACAAAAGAATATGATACATATCAAACTGGATGAGAAATGACAGAAAGATGTTTGAGACCGAAGTCTCTATCTAAATTTCTTTTTGATGTTTTCTCGGTTACCGCATATATGAACGCAGGTAAATTTAAATCTTATATTCTCTTTCATCCCCTGCCTTGTAGTTCTTTCAAATTCCTAAAGAATATAACGTGCTGTACATCACAGACGTTGCATGCTGTACCGTCACATGCGTATGCATGCACAGCTATTTTTTAACACAGAATGTGTTATATGGTTGTAACCTAGCCGTTTCCACAGAATGTGTTATATGGTTGTAACCTAGCCGTTTCCGGTTCACACTCCTGGAACGAGAAACAAAACATTGACCACCAGTCGAATGCTAATGCAACGCTCGTCTTCTTTCTGATTCAACATAAGTGCCAGCTGAACGTCTTGCTTGAGTGCATCCAAGTTAGTCCCTCCCCAAGCCTCGCATCAAGTGATCACCATAAAGCGACGTTCTACCCCTAGCAAAGGCTAAAAGAGCGAGCTCCAGGCTCCCCGAGAGAAGGAATGTAGAAGAGATTGGCAGCAAAGCAGAGATTAAAAGCAGATGGTAGCTTAAAATGTTCACTTTGCCATGACGAGTTGAGGTAGTTATAGTGCTTGCTCACTTCATTTCTTTTTTACAATGTGTGACACCAGTGTTTGTGCGAAATAAAGCTTGAATACAACTGTGCCTTGGAAGTGATGTTTTGACTGCTGCTTTATGTATTAAAGCATCTAAGAGTGCAATGCAGTGCTGAGCACTTAGCTAGGCGCTGCATCACATTTTGTGTTACCACTGCTTTGCCATAATATTTTGCTGCAGTGTGTACATTGTCCATTGTAGCGTCTGTCTTTAGGGAAACTGTATTCCCTACAAGTAGCAACACCAGTGTTGAAAATCATAACTTGTGTCTTAATTGGTCCACGATTTTAAGTAGTATTCCTTTTAAGTAGCCTTTGAGGGCAACACCTGATTGATGTATAGACAGTGCCTTGCTTTATGGTGTCATTTTAAGTAAGCCGTAATTTTCCTTCCTTCAAGATGAGCGATCAAATGGTGACGCCTCGAGACACGACGATGACATTCACATGCTTCGTCTTCTTTGACATGTTCAACGCCCTCAGCTGTCGGTCACAGGCAAGTATTTCTCTGTGCAATCAAAATTCTACAAGTGCAAAGAGGTGCAAAGTAGGGGTCGTGTGACTACTGTGGGGTTGCAATATGCATCTTTAGCACTGAGCACTAAGGTTGTTAACTGGAAGCTTGGGTTGGCATGTGAGGAGGGAGCATTTACCACCTAATTTTCCTGAGAGCATTAACTTTGCACTCCTTTATGGGTTGAATGGCAGCCTGTGAATACTATTGACATGTTGATTGCACGCGAATCACCCACTTTGAAAGTCTGTCCACCGCTGTTGTTTTGAAAGGCTTGGAGCAAATACGAAGTGGTGTCTGTTGATTGAGCTGCGTACCAGTGCCACACCTGTTGCGAAGAGTTGCTGCGGAATCAGTGACACAAAAAATTGGCTGCATGTTTGGTCAGTCTGCTGAATGCGTTTAAATGTGGTAGCTTTATAAAGTGAGTGGTGCTCTTAGTTTGGGTGTTGCCTAGGGCAGGGTTTTGTATGGAAACAGATTGTCACACCATTGTCTCTTTGTGATGTTGCGTAAGCTTCCGTTCAGCACCATCCTGGATACAAAGCCTTTGCACTGAATTTTCTGGGTCACCAAGAAAGGGAAAGTGTGCTTTCCTGCCCTTTCTACTCCTCGTTCTGCACGCTCTCTCTACAGCACCTGTTTCTGCTCCTCTCTTGCTTGCCCTTTCCACCCCTCTCTGCTCAGCACACTATCTTGCACCACCTGCTTCAGGTGGTGCACCACGCAGGAACGGTGGTGCACACCACCGTTCCTGCGTGCTGGGTCCGTGGCTCAGTCAGCAGCACACTCGGCTTGCACGCCGGTGACTGGGATTCGATCCCTGGCACTGGTTGCTGTTTTTTTCAAGATCGTTTAGTGGTTACAGACTGACCAACCTAGTACATATTTCATGCTTACTTGGCTCCTGAGATTGGTTGGCCCTATAAAACTACCGCTTTAAAAAATCGGTCTTCTCTACACCATCATTCTTTTTCGTGCAATTATTATTACCTGAAAAAAGTTTTTTTTACAAATTTTAAATCATTATTTAAAGCGCTCTGCCACCAAGATGGGAGTATAATTTAGTAGCTAAATTCTTTGGTGTAGGGGGGTGGGGGGTAATAGGAGTCTCCAATGTTATGGCTTCAGTGTAATGGTTTACGCAGGAGCTGCGTAATTAGTACTCCAATATTTTATACACCGGCACATTGTTTAGAAACAAGCAGACTTTGCCTACACTAGGGCTGTGTTCCAAATCTTACCCAAATAGATTGGAGTTACTCCAGCAGGTGATGTCACGTGACAACACAGATAGAGCAATGCTGGATGCGGGTAGGTTTTCAAATGCCAAGGTACAAAACCCTTACCTTGGAGCAAAATTGTGTAAATTTTGGAGCATTACCTTGTGTGGGCACTGTGCATGTGCAGGAACCAGATATGCGGGATGTGAAGTGTGTGTGCATGCAATGGATGGATGGATGCATGCATGGCAGCTGTTCACTTTGAATCGAGCGGTGACTTGCAGCACCTAGCCAGTCTGTGCTGTCAGGAGGGCTACCTCTGTGGCATGACATTAGCGACGTGCGGTGATCTGTAAGGAGAAGGTACTGCAAGTTTGAATAATTTCTTCCCTTGGATGTGCCAGCTCCAGCTTATATTGGATTAACCATTCTAAGTCTACACGGCCTAAAAGGTGAAGCTATAGCTTTAACAGTTGCCCAAGCTACATTGATTTGCATGTTTCTTCTGAAAGCTCATCTATATGTTAAATCTGGTGTATTCTGGTAATTTACTATAGACTCGTATCTTTGGAGATACACTTAATGACCCGCTGTGTCTTAGCCACTTGAACCTCCTAAAAACGTCGTCTTTTGTTTCCAGACCAAATCGGTGTTTACCATAGGGTTCTTCAGCAACAAAATGTTTTTGCTTGCGGTCGCCTTCTCGGTCATTGGGCAAATGCTGGTCATCTACTTTCCGCCACTGCAGAGGGTCTTTCAAACAGAGGCTCTGACTTTCCAAGGTATTGTTTCTATGAATGTGATGTTTTGTCATTCTGTCTTTTTCCGTGGTAGAAAGGACATGAATGAACCAATTTTATTTGTTTTTCCAGACATCGCTCTGCTTGTTGGCGTCTCGTCGACAGTCTTCATTGTCTCGGAACTAAAGAAATTCTTGGAAAGAAGCATTTCTAGAAGGGTGCGGAAAAAGCAGTTTTTCGGCTCCGACTTTGTGTAACGGAAGTGCGCAGGCAGTGGTGGTGTCACTTTGCCTTCAGTCAGTCTCATTATCATTGTGCTGTTTTGCCCGTTTGTTTCACTTTCTTGACTGTAGAACCTTTGTTATGGTAGTCTTCAGTTTTAGTTTTACATTTATGTTGTGTTTCTTTATTTGTGTTTCTGCTGTCGCAGTGCAAAACCGTCGCTGTGCCAGTTGAAGTGAAAGTGGACGACCCAGGAGACAACGAGCGGTTACTGCTCAAAGTCGCACTCTGTAAATAACCACTTGTACATACCCTAAGTGGGCCGATAAGTAGGGACATTACTTCAAAACGCTGGTGCTGCAGTGTGCCACCTTCTCGACATTATAACCGAAAATCAGCTGGCTAGAGTTCAGTTCTGCGGCGACAAAGTTCTCGAAACTGGCGGTAGCGTTAGCTTACGCAAGGTACATCATGAAGCGTTCCTGTAACTTTGTGTGGTTGAAGGCAGGATTGTTGAGTATTCTATTTATTTAGGCCTCTATATTTCTGAGGCTGAGTGATACTATGGGTTGTTTAGTTTCTTTCCAAGAAAACCTATTGGCCAGTAGTCCCCATGTGACACCAGCCATATTTACTGGAAGCAGTGCCTTGAAGGTGAAGGTTGCAAAGGTGATTCACACTACGCAATCTTCGTGGTCGCCTTTCTATTGGTGATGTGCATTAAATTGTATGTCTTGATCTGCAGAGAAACTGATCATGTCAGGTTTTGGGGTTTCCATAAATGCTAACTGTACATATTAACATCAGAAAGGGAAGTTCTTTTTTTAGTATACTATTGTTTACCACAATTGAGGAACCTCTTGTTCACAGTTACCCATACATATCCATGCCATTATAAGTGCACACTTTCCCCTTTTAGGATTCATTATGATGGCAGCAATCTTGCAAAACTATACACTTGAAAACTTCAGGATGTTTTAAGCCGTGGTCCTTTGGAGGGAAATATCTGTGGCACTAAAGTCGACATTGCACGTGTGGAATGCAAGCAGGCAGGTCGTGCAAGGGGGCCAAGTGACTGAAGTTAGAGCAGCATGACAAACTGAAATGAAGGCCCAAACTCCGGCAACTCCTCCACATCTGTTTGTGTCTGTACATTTTCGTACCCCAATGACATAATCAAAGCTGGTGGCATTGCCTAACCTATAACAAAGGGCAAGCAATTGATTAAGCAATTCTTGGGTTTAGTGCCATCAGAACAGTTGTGATAAGGCAATATTTAGGTGCCTGTCTTGAATGTGATCTATGTATTTGTCTTGCTACTTGAAGCTGAATGAGAGGCAGCGGTGTTTGGAAGCTACATGTTCGAAGTAAATGATTTTTCAGATGCACTGTTCAATAGACCATGCCTGTGCATCTGAAATCGTGTGCCCAATGGACTCTTACGAGTCGTGCATTTCTTTTATTTATAAATTTTTTATTGAATGTGGGCAGTGATTCCTTTTCAAACTTGCTACACTAAACAGGGCGCTTATTTGTCGTCCTCTGTGGTGGACATGAATATCATCTTGATATGGTGGCTGCGGCATCATTTTCTCCTTGTCTCGGGGTTTAAATTATGTTTCCTAACCAGCTTGCCTGCATACTTTAGCTCCTAGCATAGCAGTGCTGGTACCTTTGACTGCTGGCATAGTCAGAGCTTTTCCAGAAAGAAAGCAGTGCTAGAACTGTTAAAATTGACTTATTTTGGAAACATAACGCGCTTGTCGTGTGTGTATACTGAATCTCGCACATACCTTGACTTCTTTCCGTAACAATTTTTCTACATTGCCATTAAACATAATTTATGCACAACTTGCTCAGGTTTGTTCCTGACTGCCTATTCGTGATTCTTCCAGGAAAGCTTTCACATTGACTAAGAGGCCGCATTTGAGAACAAAACGCTTTTGTGACAGAGCATCAATGAGGTCAGTAGAAACAGTTCAGACACGCCCAAGCACCCCCAACACTTTTCAATTCAACCTGGCGTCCATCCCAGCTCTTGGGATCTTGCAAAGACACCTGTGGTGCTCAACTTCGTCTCATTCTATTTCATGCTCTCCGAACGAACATGGTAACGTGCTTTGTTCGCTTCAGTACTTCCTGCACAAGACTTGCTTCTTGCCTTCACTACCACTGGTGCATGTGCTGCACTTGCCTTGTGCCACCAGCAGGAACACCTGTGGCCCCCAACCTGCACTCTGCATTCAGAGCTGCTTCGTAGCAAATTTTCAAATGTCTCTCTTAAACAGGCATTCCAGAGCTAGCATGTACTGCACCTCTGGAAGTAGCTTTCTGGAAACTACTGCAGTAGATCATTTTGCTTACTAAGTAATCTGCAGGTGCACCCCAAAAATAAAGTGATGCCAGACACATGCCAATCCAAATTTGAAGACAAGTTTATTCGTAATATTGAGTAACTAAATAAAAAGAATGACATATGTACAAGGCAGGGTGAAAAATGGGCTGAACGACGTAACCTTGCTTTCTGACGTAACCAAGATGCTGCTTGACTTGGAACAGTATCTTCAATAAAGGTTGGCAAGGCAAAAGTATAAACCCATTTGGTCAAACATCATGTCTGATGAACCAGGCAAGCATGCCCCCCCTCTCGTCTTCAGATGGCGAGGAAGCTACAGGAACTGCGCCATCGCTAGCCTGTTTGCCCTGTGCTCTGCTATGAAGTCTTGTTGCAGCGTCACAATGGGCGGTGATCGGGCAAGTCTTCAACCCCGTGGGGGCGGTCTCATTCCAGGGGGCGGACCTAGAAAAAAGGCAACAAATGTTCAGTCACCTATTTCTTGTGAAAAAGCGACTACTACCTACTAGTCGTTTTTATGGGGAAGCATCTTATCTCCACTTTATACATACGTAGCAATTTCGGGGCCAAGTGTGGAAACCCATTCAACCACAGACTGGTCGAACGACGGGTGTCAAGTGACATCGGCCAGTACTCAAGCCTGGGAGCCACAGAGGAGCTAAACCCAGCTGAAGTCATAAGTTCCATGTCCCCATTTTACAATAAATAAACACTCTTTCTTGCCTTTCTCTTATCTCCAACGAGCTTGGTGACTTGTGATGATGGCACATAAATTGTGCGTCTTTACTGCCATTTTTCAAGCATTTTCCAAGCCATAACCGAATACAAAGCCACAGGCACGTAGCCAGGATTTTGTTTCGGGGGAGGGGGGGGGGGGGGGGCCATGGCTACGTGCTTGCGAAGCCGACTAAAACGTCTGGGCCGGCTTGCTAGAACAGTGTTTCAGCCGAGACTGGGTAAAAGAAAGCACCGCAAAGGCTGGGGCGCGCGAGCGTCTTGAGATGCAGCTTAAGTCCCGCTCAGCTCACGTGCTGGCTTTGGCAGTGCTTTCTTTTGTCTCGGCTGAGACGCTGTTTCTAGCAAGCCAGCGCTGATTCCACGATAACACTTAAAAAGTAAATTCCTAGATCCTGTTTGGCAGAAGAGTTCAGACGAACACTTCTGCAAAATTGGAGCAAGTAGACAGACATTTGTGTAATATTTTTGAATGTATACCATGCACCCCCAAAAGCACAACTTTTACCATGAATTCAGCACAGTAGCTGTGGTGGGCTAGAAAGATGGTACAGATAAAGTAATCTTTAGCACAGGTTCCTGCGTGGATGCCAGTGCCTATCAGAATATGTCACAAACTGACATTCCTGGAGATGACAAATCATTGCTGTGCGATTTTAAGTCTTTTGTTGGTAGCCTTCAAAAAAAAATTTCAAAGCTCGAAGTCCAGACAAGAAAAGCTGTTAGTTACAGCACTATGCCCGCCATCTTGGACCATATCCGAAACTAGTGGTATTTTGGTTGTGGCAAGAAGATAGTTCGATCTGCCAGACGACTCCGAGACACGAGAGGAATTCTCTAAAAACCCGATCCACAAAAAAATCACCCACTGTCCTCCGAAGTGAAAACCTCAATTGAGACCTTTTACCAAGATGACAGGATGTCGTATTGTCTTCCTGGGATGAAAAATGTCCTGAAAGGAAATCAAAAGCGGCTTCTTTTGTTGAATCTAAAGGAAGCTTTCATTCAATGGAAAGAGGAAAATCCAGACCTGCCAGCCTCTTTTTCAACCTTTGCATCCCTGAATCCCCCTGGTGTGTGTTAGCAGGCTCAGCTGGCACACACTCTGTTTGTGTGTGCGAGTACCATCAAAGCGTCAAGCTTATGCTCCATGCACTAGGAATAAAAGAAACCTGTGGCAAGCTTATGGCTTTCACCGTTTGTTCAATCGAAGAAGAGAGCTGCATGATGAACACCTGCTCGAGATGCCCAGGAACGGAACCACTAAAATGTTTTCTCCAAGGCAAGACTCCCGAAGACGACGAAATAAAGGACAAGCGGTGGGTTCACTGGGAGAAGTGCCTGCTCATAATAGTTGTATCGAGTACCACAGAAGTAGTGGGAGAACTCCTTGAAAAGCTGGAGAACTTGAAACGTCATCACCATGTGAGCAATTTCAGTCAAATTATCTTAGGTTTCTGAAATCGACACTTCCACCAACCGAGGCAATTGTCATCATGGACTTTGCAGAGAACTACAACTTCATCGTTTAGGACGCTGCGCAGTCCTTCCATTGGAGCAGCACGCAAGCGACACTTCATCCTGTTGTTGCCTACACTCGAAGCATGAAGGAAGGAATTGACTCGTACATTACTCAATACTTTGTGGTTGTGTCCGACTCCCATGACAATGCGGCAGTGCATGCATGCATTTCAACACCACTTTCTGCATGAACTCAAAAAACAAAAAGCAGACCTCGCAAAAGTTAATTATTTTACGGATGGCGCTGCTTCTCGGTGTAAGAACAGGAAAAACTTCCTCAACCTCTGCTTTCACAAGAAAGATTCGGAGCTGGAAGCGACGTGGCCCTTTTTCGCCACATCTCATTGAAAAAGCTCTTGCGATGGCTTAGGCGGCACTATAAAAAGGCTGGCTAGCAAAGCTAGCATTCAAAGGTCATTTGACAGTCAGATCATCACAGCGCAAGATCGTTCTGAATGGGCAAAGGCTTCAATTAAAACTGTGAACGTCAAATGGGTTCCAGATAGCGTCGTCACAGCTGAGAGACGAAGACTCGGCAACCGCCATGAGCAAGCAAACCAAACACACGTCAATACCATTATCAATACCACCATACCAAACACACGTCAATACCATTATGTGGCGCCTATAAGACACGGGCATGTGGTTGCTAAAATAACGTCCCCATCAAACGTGCAGGAAGAGTTCTCCGTGCGAGGCTAAAGACATTGCAGCACTACGAGGTGAACTGAAAGCCAATGAAACACTGATATTCTAAATGTCATATAGTATTTCTGGACTATATATTACATTCATGTACATAAGAAAACGAAATGTCGGTGAGCTACAAATGTGCTTTGTTTCGGCTTTGATAAAAAGTATCCCAAACAATATTTCCAGTAGCTATTCAACTTGCAAGCGCACCCGGACATAATATTTAGAGCAAAACAAATAATGCACTTTCTAGTCACTATAAATAGACATGTCATAATGTCAAGATTCTTAGCGTTAGCTATACAAATATAATTAACGAAATTAAGTTCCCCGTGCAGTGTTTCACTCAACCGTACCAGACGGCGGTGTGCGTTGCCGACGGGGTGGACGCCTGGAGGCGATGCCGTTCTGCCTTATATTGAAAAAATAATTTCTCCAAAATAACAAAAAGTACTTTTCTAATTTTTTGACATGTTGAACAGAGGGGGTCGGTTAACCTTTCGGCTATTTTAGAAAATGCGAGCACCGTTGCCCACATGGCTTTTTTTTACCCTCTATATGGCCGTTTTTGAAGAAAGTGACATATTCATCATTTAAATAAAAACTCTACGAATAATTTTTTATAATTGTAATGCAACCTAGTCGAGCATAAGGTTCAGAAAAAGAAGTGAAAAAAGTTTCGTAGTCAAATTTTAATTTCAAGTTGACTAAAAAAATCAAGAAATCTTAAAAATTTGCTTAGATTTGGAGTGCCTGTCTGGACCCAAAATGGCGGCGTAAGGTGTTTTCCTTTCAAGGTAAGATAGAATATTAGTGATCTATTGCATGCAAACTTAAAATGATGAGGTAAAAATAGATTTTTTCTGCAATTTTTTGAAGTACAGGAGGTTTTCTCCGATTCCCTGCACTTTGGAGCATGACGTCAGCAAAAATAAACCTAATTCAGCCCTCAAACTTAGCCATCCTTACCTTCAAACGTGTCTTTATTCATATTTTTTTCGAGCATATCCAAAATATGACGAAAATAAACGTTATAGTCGGGTACAAGATAAGAACGGAAGGCTGCCTCTTTCGGGCATCCACTTTCCAGCAGGGTTGGGCAGTATCGCGATACAAATGTATCGCGATAGTATTTCAGGAATACATTTCGTATCTGTATTTCTGTATCGCAATACATTTTTTTTCGCCAGTATCTGTATTTCTGTATCGAAATACATTTTGAATGTTCCTTTGTATCGCGATACAATCAGGGTGAAATGTATTTCGTTACATTTTTTGAGAAATACTCAACCCCCCCCCCCCCCCTCCCCCCAAAAAAAATAAAATAAAAAAACCCGAACGCCTTTTTTCTTATTTTTTGAGGGCACCAGGGCCAAGGAGATGCTGGGGCATTGTTACCATGCTGACCAAGGTTCCTTCCGATTTTCTAAACTATTTTTCTATGCGTCCTCTTCTCTCTTCTGAGAACTGTTGCGCAGTCAGGGACTCGAACTAGGTGGCGTGCCAGGAGTAGAGTCCGAGCATCTTGTGCCACAGGTCCTTAGGTAGGGTTTTTTTGAGTCATTGTTTGCGGGCATCCAAAGCCCGCTGCTTACCGTCTCTTTTGCCTTAACGTACTCAGTACACCCATGCGGCAAAGTTGATTAACAGTTCGTTGCAGCACGAGCCTGGTGGTGGCTGACTTAAAATTGTAGGATATCTCGCGCAGTGAAGTTCAACAGATATTTGAATGCGTCCGCGGCTGCGCCCGTAATATTGCACGGCTCAAGGGTACGTCATCAGCCGACGTTAAAGTGGCCCGCTGCTGTGGTGATCCGAAACCCAGAAAGGAGGTCAGACGTGGCCTCGCTGTGCCGACCCATACTTTGTACACCTGCGACTCGTCTCGAGCACGCTGTTTCTCGGAGAGCTCGCACCTCTGCCGGCAATATCAGGTCGCAATCCACGACGTCTTATTTGGAGTATGCAAGGCAAAACTTGATGACTGCAATCCATGCGTCGGTGGCGCAGGGTCAGCAGGAAGCACCTTCACAACAGGGATGCCACCGTATCGTTTTTTCAACCGTAACAGAAGATAAGACATGTGTTCCAGTATGCTTCAGGTGGTCCACTATTCTCGAAAATCCTGCACAACCTTCAACGAGGTAAACTACAACGAAATTACATATTGTACTTTCATACAGCAGCGCGTTAAATTTCATCTTCAAGACCATACCTACAGATAAAGAATACCAGTTCATTCCACCGTGACGTCATGTGATAAATGTTGACAGGGGCGTCCTTATTTGACAAGGGCGTGGTGGCGTTTTGATGGGATTTAGGATGAAAGAGAATTTATTTAGAGGTCGAAGTCTTTTCGCATCCCTCGTCAGACAGACAGGATGTCAGGGAAGGGACCACGGTCAGTCCTTAATGGAACGTTTTTCTGAGCCCATTGAAGACTCCTCGCCGTCCGAAATCACTACCTTCAAGGCAAAGTGCCAAGCCTACGGGAAAGTAATTTCAGGATCAAAAATTTCCACCTCCAACTCCAAGCTTCATTTAATTTCGTCTCAAATAAATTGGAAAAATGTATTGCAGTATCAGTATTTCTGTATTTGTATTTCTGCCTTCCCTAAAATGTATTCCTGTATTTGTATTTCCAAATACTTTTTGCCTATATTTAAAATGTATTTCCGATACGTATCGCGATACACATTTACAGATATATTTCAGTATCAGTATTTTAGGTACTATTTTAAAGTATCCCAGTATTTGTATTTCCAAATACATTTTCGAGTATTTCCGCCCAACCCTGCTTTCCAGCACGCACTCTTCGCCCTCCGTTCTGCATCGGGTGCAAATGCAAACTCTAAGCTCGCAAGACACTGAAGGTAGGAAGCTTGCGCTGGAGGTGAAAGACCACTGAAAGACCTCCCTGCCATTCTCGTCCCTTCGGTGACTACGATGGCTGCCACCAGACTTAATCGTACAGACCACATTAGTAAACGGTTAGTAGATGCGAATGATCTAGGGAAACCTCCCCAGGTGAATGAGATATATGAAAGAATAAACAATCAATTTAGTCTCGTATATCTTCTTCACCCCGAGGCCTTCCCCAAAATCGTTTGCATCGAGCTTTTCAAGGTGGTGTCCGGCCATGCACCAGTCTGCAGAGAGAGCAAAGAAAGTGAACTACCATTTTCTGAAGTTGCCGGCTCGGGAAGATTCGGTAGAAGTTGCACGCAAGAGTGGTACGAGCACTTCACCCAAAAGAATACCCCCATTGAATGAGCGCCTGCGCAATGCAAGCGCTCTCCAGCTCTCGAACCGGCAATTCAGATAATGGTAGAGGGCCACAGATGATGAAGCAGCGTGCGACTCACCTCCGCGCATCATGCCGGGAGGGGGTGGGCCCCGCATGCCCGGCGGCCCCATGGGTGGCCGGCCGCCCATGGGCATGGCCCCGGGTGGGGGCATGCCACGGCCCATCATGCCGGGGGGACCGCCCATCATCCCTGGCGGCGGGGGCCCCCTCATGCCCATCGCGCCCGGGGGCGGGGGCCCGCCGGGACGCACCTGGGGCGGCGCAGCCACCCCGACGCCGGGCGGCATGGGCCCGCCGCGACCCTGGGGAGCCATCACCTGCGGAGACGGGCCACCCACGCCACGCACGGGGCCCTGGAGGCCTGCACAAACGGACAACCGTTGTTAGTTGGGGGAACGAGGGCTGCCCAAATGCATGTTGAGCAACCGGAAAACCGACTAGCCAGGGGTTGGATGCACGTGCACTCTGGTGTACAAAAAGGAATTTGCCCCTCTGCAATAGCGACCGAATAGACAGAACGGTGCGAAGATATGGGGTCCCATCAAGTAAGCACTTCCAAAACTAGTGCGTGAGCAGAGAAGCATGTGAAATTGTGAGCCTGCAGGAAATTGGATTACAACTACCGTAAAATACCGAAGGAGCGTCCACCTAAATTCTGACGATGGCTTGGGAAACTGAGGGATGGGCACTTGTTAGGTCTTGGAGAAAAAAATGCAGAAGGGATTCAAGATGGGGTGCTTAATTTTCTCAATCGCTTTGCACCGGTGTGCTCGCAGATGCAGCGTGGAAGAGCATCTTGGTTAGTTAAATGGGCTCAAAAGTCTAAGGTGGGCACTATGTCCTTTGCTCATTCTTAAAAGAATTTTTAAGAATGAGCAACTACTACCCTTATTAGAACAAGCATGACTGACTAGAACAAAAAGAAAAAGAAAGCTTGTTTAGGGGTTTGATAAAAAAAAACATGAAAAAAAAAAAAGGACTGACAGAACTCGCAAGACCATAAAACTGAAGGTTATTGTCACAAGTCACTTGCTTTGATGTGTTCTAGCACAACAGTTTAGAGTTTGCATAGCTCGGCAGGACATTGCCACTGTTCTGTTTGTCCTCCCGCCAGCTTGCTATTTGTGTGCCAGAGCATGTATCTGCCTTGTGCATCATTTATAGGTTTACGACACGGTATTTTTATGTTGGATATTCAACCAAAAAAACAGGATGGTCGATCTCTTGGGGGCGGGCATTCATACTAGACTTTACGGTGTACACGGTTCAATGTGTGCATTATTTCTAATACATGCGGCCATGTTCAACGCCACTCTGCCAAAAGAAAATTAAGCAAACGAATTGATGCCTCAGTACTTCTGACAAAGCCAGCTATGTCCCAGTTTTGGAGATCAGACAGTTGGCCGAGCTGTGGCACTAACAGCACAAAGCAACGCGCCCAAACAAGTGCTTTGAAGGCACTGATACGGGGAACGGAAATAAACACACGACTGATTGTGTGTTGTTCATATTCATCCAAATACGGTGTGTATTTCTGAACAATAAAAACATTTATTGTTCCAAAAACAAACAACTTGTGCAGTTCTTCCTTGTGCTGCTGGCACTTGTCAGCTCATCAACACGAGACCATGGAACGAAACGGATTACTGTATCTATTTACCTAGTTCGGAATAAATCATTGTCATCCTCGTTAGATGAAAATAGGCACTTGGCACCTGTCTTCATCAAACGAGAGTCGCCTGCTTTGACGTTGACACAACCACATCGGTGTGTGGCTCCATAACATTGGTTCAGAATATCTGAACGAAAACAACACGGTAAACCCGTGTTGTTGCCCATGAGTTAGTTGGGATTAAGATTTTAATGCCGCAGCGGCAACGGTGGCCATAATGCGCCAAACAAAATGTGTTTTAAAGATCAAATGAAACAGATGCTAGGCTAGAGAAACTTTTTATAACTGGTGTAGATATCCAGTTTTGTTAATAAAATCAAAAACTCGTCTGAGTGGTACTAAGGCATTGTCTCCAAGTAAAAACATAGGATGAAAGGGAAGATGGTTTCTAAAGAGTTCAGGAAAACATGATACGCGCAGTTGATGATAAAACCTACATTCCCGTAGAATGTGTAAAACTGTAAGTAATTCCCCACAATGGGCACAAACTGCAACATCTTCGCCACTTAGAAGGTATGTATGTGTCAAACGTGAATGGCCAATTCTCAAGCAGCAAAGCAGAACCTCAAGGTGGCGGTTCTTGTGGAATGAACTTTCCCAGATGCCTATCATGGGTTTTATTACGTGGACCTTATTATTGGTTTCAGTGTCCCATTCTAGCTGCCAAGTCTTTAAAAGAGGTTTCTTTAGAAGTGGTTTAAAGTCCTGGCAGGGCAGGCCAAAAGATACTATTGAGTGTGTGGCAGATGCAGCCAGGCGATCTGCATTCTCATTTCCTGCGATTCCTACGTGACTCGGTACCCAGCAAAATTTGATAGTGCATCCAAGGCGAAGAGCTGTTTAATACGAACATGTTGTGTAAGTATATTCTTTGTAGAAACTCTGGAATAGCAGATAAAACACTTTGCGAATCTACAAAAATGATTGCGTTGAATACATTGTTGTCCAGAATATGCTCAATGGCTAATAAAATACCATAGAGCTCTGCGGTGAAGATGCTTGCCATTGAGTCAAGCTGCACAGCTCTTCCAAAGTTACTAGAATAAACTGCACAACCAACCTGACTTAAAGATTTCGACCCGTCGGTATAGTACTCGTTGCAACCTCTAGATATCCTTTCTTGCAAAGGTAGAAGCTCTTTCTGAAGAAACTGTGGAGCAACGGTCTTCTTACTGTATTTGGTGAAAGACCAGTCACAACATACAGGTAGCTCGTTCCAAGGGGCAATTCTCTCTATAGATTTTAGCAAGTTAACACCACTTGTGGAAGGGACAGGGAGGTTGAGAGAGCTACAGATACTTTGAACTCGAAAGCCTAGGGGGCGCACAATAGTTGGCTTGTTTTCAAACAATTTACAGAACTGAGGGGTGTGTAAAATACTATAAGCAGGATTTTGGGGATCCGAGAGGACTTTGTAATACTAACACAGGCTCAAGTACTGTCGCCGTTTTCCAAGAAACATTTGATGTGTGTCCACATACAAGCTTAATACGGGTGATGTGCAAAATGCCCCAGTGGCAAGCCGGAGCCCAAGGTGATGAACCGGATCCAACATCCTTAGTGTGAAAGGTCGTGCTGAACCATAAACGATCGCTCCATAATCCAGGCGTGACCGAACTAAAGCATTGCACAAACGTAGGAGGCATAGCCTGTCAGACCCCCAAGATACATGTGACAGCACCTTAAGGATGTTAGAGGATTGCAAGCACTTCTGCTTTATTTCCTTTAAATGAGACCTAAATGTAAGCTTTTTATCGAAGGTCATGCCTAAAAATTTATGTTCGTGCTTCACCGATATTTCTGTGTTGTTCAATTGTAAGACTGGATGCAAAGATAGACCTCGTCGCAGGGAGAAGGGCACACACACAGTTTTCTCTGGGGAAAATTTAAAACCATTTTCATTTGCCCACTTGCTCATCCTATTTATCGTGAGCTGCAATTGCCGTTCACAACTAGAGAGGTTGCAAGACGAAAAAGATATTTGCACATCGTCTACGTAAAGAGAGTAAGAAACGGATGACGGTATAACTTGAGCCAGACTGTTTATCTTAACTGCAAATAAAGTGGCACTTAAGACTCCGCCCTGGGGGACACCATTTTCTTGTAAGAAGACACTGGATAAAAACAAGCCTAATCGAACTTGAAATGTATGTTCACTTAAATAGTTTTGTAAGCAACGGAGCATGCGGCCACGCACTCCACAGTTGTACAGATCTCGAAGGATGCCATACCTCCATGTAGTGTCGTATGCCTTCTCTAAATCAAAAAACACGGACACACAATGCTGCCGGTGAACAAAGGCCTCGCGTATGACGGTCTCAAGTCGGACCAGATGGTCCATAGTCGACCGTCCAGCCCGAAAGCCACACTGGTTAGTATAGAAAAAGTTTTTCTCCTCCAAAGAAAACATAAGGCGGCGATTTATAAGCCTTTCATAAGTTTTCCCCAAGCAGCTTGTAAGTGCTATGGGGTGGTAGCTTGTAGCCAGAGAGGGATCTTTTCCAGGCTTCAGCAAAGGTATAACGTGGGCACATCTCCAAGTATGCGGAAAAGCAGCAGCTTCCCAAAGGTAATTAAAAAAGGATAGCAGGTGGTACAAGGATTCATGAGAGAGGTGTTTGAGCATCTCGTAGTGAACTCTGTCTGGCCCAAGTGCAGACTGCTTTTTTAAGCTGAGAGCAACTTCGAGTTCACACATTGTGAATGGTTTGTTGTATGCAACCAAGCTAAAGCCTGACATAGTGAATTTCTGTTTTTCAGCGGTAGACTGGAACTTTACAAACTCCGTACTGTAATTGGAAGAGCTACAAACACGCTGAAAATGTTCTGCGAGGAAGTCTGCTTGCCCTGTTAGAGATGCTGAGATCGAAGGAAAAAGTGGAATCCTGAAAGCATGGTACTGCCCGCAAACTTTTTTGAGACGATCCCATACTTCTTTAGCCGTGACAAAACTATTTAAGGATGAAACATACTTTGTCCAAGAAGCCCACTTTGCCCGTTTTCGCGTCCACCGAGCTTGTGCTCTTTTTTCCCTAAACTCGATCAAGTTACGGAAAGTTGGATACCGCCGAAAAGTTCCCCACGCCTTGTTCTGGCTTTTCCGAGTGGAAGTACATTCCTCATTCCACCAGGGCTTGCACCTCCGGGGAAGATTTCCTGAAGTCTGTGGAATCGAAGCGGAAGCAGCATTTATAATGCATTCTGTAACGTAAAGCGTCGCATCCTTGGGAGTCATATGAAGAAACAAGGAGGGATCAAGTGCTGCTTCTAAACCAAAAATAGACCAGTCGGCCTTTTCCAACTTCTATTGCGGGAGTTGAGTTGGTATCGATGAAACTGGTAAAACGCTCTCTAAAATTATGGGTAGATGGTCGCTGCCAAAAGGGTTGTCTAAAACGTTCCATGAAAAGCATGGAAGTAGAGATGGTGATAATAGTGATAGGTCGATTGATGTAAAAGTGTTGTGGGCAGCACTAAAAAATGTAGGTTTTTTCTTATTCAGTAAGCAGATTTCAGTTGATAATAAAAGTCGTTCAACAACTCCACCTCGGGAGTCCTGACGAGAGCTTCCCCACAAAGGATGGTGGGCGTTAAAATCACCAAGGATTAAAAAAGGTTTGGGGAGTTGGTTGATGAGTGCTTGGAGTTCATGAAGATGAAGCGGAACATTAGGTGGCAAGTAGAGTGAC